GACTTTGCGGGCACTTTTATTTTGTAGCTGAGGTTGAAAGTGCAGAGAAATCGTTATTCGCAATCACTCCAAGATGATTTTGGAAATGTTTGTGGTTAAATCGTAGTGCTTCTTACACATGATCTCTATCGTTTTGATAAATACAAAATCATATCAATTGTGACCTATCTGTGGGGCGAGCACAAAATAATTTATTCAAAATGGCAATATTTAAAGTTTTGCAATGGTTGGTTTTCATTCAATTTGTTGTATTATTTGTAAGTTAAAGCACAAATAATCATAAATATAAGTGCTATTTAGTATAATACTAGTACACGAACACACATTAGTTGAATAACAAGTGATAATATCTGTGTCTTATATGGGCGGTAGGAGTGGGCGTGATCCGATCGGTCCAAGCACCTGTGCCAAATTTCAAGTCTCTAACTTCATGTTTCGAATTTATGCCAAAAAATCGGAAGTCTGGCCCAATGTGCATTGATTGTATTAGTATAAATATCGGTGGTTTATTCAAAGCGGACCTCATTAAAGTGGTGGCCGTGAGTGCGTTAAGATATAAGTGGTGATTGTTCAGCTAAGTGTGAATCGAAACAATTTGAAGCTGAGTTGGTGGTTTCGCAGGAATTCGGAAACAAGTACAACAACGAACCCGAAATGGAAACGGAAGTGCAAGCGTTTTATAAGAACAAAACCATTTTTGTAACCGGTGGCAGTGGCTTCTTGGGCAAAGGTATAACAAAAATATGATAAATCCAGTAAATGCGAACGTAATAAATTATAAATACGAATGTTGTGCAAATTTATTGATAAACGCAGGAAGTGAATATTACACTTAGAAGTGCTAAGTGCCTGTGCTTTGAAACTTTGATAAATACTGCAGTAAATCGGGAGTGGGAGGAACATACTCGTATGTATTCTATAAAGACCAATACAAAATAATATACAAAGTACGTCAGAGTTGTTTAATCAATGCCTTATACTGGGTTATGTTGTTACTTGTTATGAAGACATTGGAATTTTACAATCCAAATGATTTAATATTATATATGAGGGTATATAAGTTTTGTGAAAGCCTGGATTTCGGAAACGGCTGAGAGCACATTAAATAAAGCTTGGTATGTGAATGCTTCTAGTCGCTAGTCTACACGAGTTTATTTTTGTAATTCAAAAATAAAGTAAATATGCATTCACAAGTCGTTCACGTGTATGCAAATCAAACACAAGAACACTGCAAAAAATGTAACTTGCTGGTACATACATATGCAAGCCAGAATTAAATGCTAGAGTCGAGCGGACTCTACTCTTAAATACCCTGTACCCACTCCAAAAATAGAAAATAAAACATGAAAGGAACGCTAGAGTCGAGCGGGCTCAACTCTTGAATGCCCTGTACCCACTCCCACAAAAAAGAAAACAAACTAAAAAATAGATTTTAAAAATATATATACATACAGACATACACACACTTGTCTCGAAATTAGGAGAATCTGGATACGGTTTTGGTAAAATTGGTGCGAAATTTATTGCTAACTTTGCGAGCTTGTCAATTTCTTAATTTTGAACAATACGTAAATGTTGATAATGGAAATGAAAGGCCTGGATATGTTGGAAGTTTATATAGAAACAAAATTTGTTATTGTTTTTGTATTTGTATTTGTTCATTTGTTTTTTGTATGCATTTATTTGTGTTGTTCATTGTCCAAGTTTAGTAATTCTAGCTCTTATATTCTTTAAGATCCTTGCATATATTGACTAATCTTGTCAACCTGATCAAGAATATATGTACATTCTCTTACATACGTATGCACTAAACTACAATACCCTTTAAATACAGGGTAAAAATTGCCGTAATGAATTGAATAATGAAAAAGAAAACCAAGTTCGAGTTCAATACAAATTACTAATACAACTTGTGTACTCTTGACTTTCAGTGGTAATTGAGAAAATTATGCGCACAACTGAAGTGAAACGCTTGTATATTCTTATGAGACCAAAACGTGGCGTGGAAATACATGAGCGTATTGCCTCTTGGCTCACCGATCCGGTAAGTATTAAGTATGCTAACGAAAAGCTCATTGATTGATTTCATAAAATGCCTTTATATGTGTTTCTTGTATCTAAATATCATATCGCACAGGTTTTCCAGAATTTGTTAAATGTTAAGCCCAATGCATTTGAATGCTTGGTGCCCATAGCTGGTGACTGTGCGGAACTTGATCTTGGCATTTCCGAGCAGGACAGACAGATATTGAGGAATGAAGTACAGATTGTTATACACAGCGCAGCGACCGTGCGTTTCAATGAGCCGCTGCATCATGCGCTGGACATCAACGTTCGTGCCACCCGCCTCGTGATGGAATTGGGCAAGGAAATGCAGCACTTGGAATCTTTCGTACACGTTTCCAGTGCCTTCTGCAACTCCGTCGTATCCCATATCCAGGAGATCTACTATCCGGAGTTTCTCAGTTGCCCAGCCGCAAAGGTTTTGGAATTGAAGGAGCAACTGAGTAATGAGCTGCTTGACAAAATGACGCCAGCATTTGTAGACAAATTTCCCAATACCTACACCTATACAAAGGCGCTGGCCGAGCACCTGGTCCAGACTGAATCGGGAGATCTACCAATGTGCATCTTCAGGCCAGGCATAAGTAAGTGAAAGTTGGGTTGATAACTCATAAGAAATTTGTAATGTAGTTAGAGTTAGTACAGAGTATTTCAAAGTCGGGACACCCGACTTTAGCTTTTTTACTTGTTTTTAATTACAATTCACAGTTGATTAGTCACAGAATTTGAACGTTTCCTTTTAGTATTCAGTATTGCTAATAACCCTATGATTTATTCTAATTTGATGTTCACCTCAACAGTTATTGCCAGTTACAAGGAGCCTGTGTCGGGCTGGATTGATAATTTGTATGGACCTATTAGTATACTCTATGCCGCTGCTTTTGGAGTGATGCGTATTTGTCGAGTCGATGTAAAAAAAGAGGCGAATGTTGTGCCCGTGGACTTCTGTGCCAATTTGTTGATAGCGAGTGTCTGGAAAACAGCCATTGATGCAAAGAGTGCCAAGGAACAGAATCCAGAGCAAATAACCCAGAAGGATGGTGAAAACTCAAGAATATATTCCATTCAGAAAGAAGAAGAGCAGAAGACTTTTGAAAAACCAATCTATAACTTTGTGTCCAGTGAGCACAACCCATTAACATGGGGCGACTTTATAAGCAAGGGGTCCGATCTATACCCCGCCTATCCCATCACTAAGATGATATGGTTCCCATTTCTCATCCCCACCAACTCCCAGTTTCTGTATCAGTTTCTTATTTTCTTTTACCACGTAATACCTGGATATGCCATCGATCTGATATTACGTTTAAGGGGCAAGCGTCCTTGCATGGTAAAGATTTACGAAAAGATACACAAGAATTTCGAGCTGCTGGGACCTTTTGCAGAAAGGAACTGGAAGTTTCAAACCACAAATATGCAGCGATTGTGGGAACACATGTCAATATCTGATCGTAGGAATTATGAATTTGACATGACGAAGGTCAATTGGAACGAATATGTTGTTCGAGCACTTGCAGGCATGCGTATCTATTTGGCAAAGGAGGAGCCTGGTAATGAGTCTATAGAGCGGGGCAAAAAAATTCGAGCACGGTAAATATATTGGTGTTATTATTCGGGGATTTATTTATTTATTTATTATCTTAATGATGTTTGTTAATTTTCAGATTTGAGATCCTTCATCGTTTATTACAAGTGATCGTCTGCAGCGCCGGCGCAGCTATTTTATGGTCTGTGCTCAAATTATTTATCAGTTTCTGGATGAATTTTATGACAATTTTGTAACATTTAAGTGTTTTTTAAAACTATTAATGGTATTAGCATAAATAAGCTTAAAACCAAAATACTGGCTTTTCTCTTTCATATTGTTTGATGATTTTTAAAATATTTTAATTATTCTGTTTATTATCAAATAATTTGAAGAAATTGAGGCCTTTCTATGCCATTTCGTGCGTTTATCAACACTGTCAAGTTGCCCAGCTGATATTGCAGCAAATGTCCTTATCTTCATGAGGCCATAGGTGTTGTGGAGAAAGGGAAACAAAATAGTGAATAGAAACCATTGCAATTATGCTAAAGAAAAGTGTTCATAAACATACATAAATACCTATACATACGGGTATATGCACAAAATAGGGTTCTGCATTCTTGCACATTACTTCTGGACACTTCAATAAAAGAAGTTTTTATTATAAGAAACACACATACATATGTATGTCTGTATGTACATATGTATGTGTATGTGTTTTACATATTTATGATTGAAATAATATGCCCAGCTCCAGTTTGAATGTAATATTTAACGATATGTTACAATTTTTACATCAATTCAAATATCCGTTAATATTTTTTGAAATATCAGCGAATTTTTTATACGATATTATCACACTTTTAAAATGATTGTTTCCTAATGACAAACAGAGTCCACAACTAATTGTAATTCAACTAATTGTAATGTTTGCTTAAGTTTACTGATACTAGTAAAAGGTTTTAAAAAGTTGAAAACTGTTTAGTTCGAAATATCGAAATACTTATGAAAATACTCACTCCCAGCGGGGGGCGGGGTACACGACGTTACCGCTGCCACAAGCCAAAGGCTCAGCAGATAGAAAACCGTTAGCAACATTTTGCAAGCGCGCGAGTCGAGAACTTGTAGCAGACTGCCAGGCGCGCGGCCAAATCAAGAAGCTTAAGACAATTTTCTGTGGTTAGCCCCCACCCGCCCCAGACCGAATGTGGCGTCGATTGGCCACATCCGTTACTGACTGCGCCAGGCTTCCGCCAGGCATTAGCGCCACTGACAGACGGAAGCTGTCGACAGTGGCGACGGTGGTGGATGAAGCAAAACATCGATGGCAAAACTATAAGTTTGCCACCGATTAGCATAATTCGATGCGGGCGGATGGGGGCGGAGGCAAAAATATGAGGCGCCAACTTACCATTTACTAGGCCTGCAGGGCTGGCGAACACAAGGGAAGCACCACTGCCTGATTTAGCCACCTCTACGTCCGTTAGCAGACGATTCGCCTTGGCTGGTGGTGTGAGCTTTGCTGTCTGCTCCTTGATAGCTACGGCTGCTTCCATAACTGGCATACTAGGCGCAGGCAGCAACAGTTTCTTGTTCGGCACGAATTTGTATTTGCCGCGAAATCCTTTTGCCGTACGATTCGAACTGGCATTGAATTCGATGAGTAGGTCCGGTCCACTACTTACAATGCGCCGTTGCGGACTGGGAGCACATAGGACATCGATGACAGCGGCCATATGTGCGGTCTCTGCATCAAAAATGGTCAACGAGTCCAGCTGGCAGCCGCCGCTGGCGACTGGAGGCAACTGCAACTCCTCGAATACCACCTCGACGCAGCTGTCGGGCCGTCCGATGAACTTATAGGCACACTTGATATGGGCCGGATAGTGGGCGGGAAAGCGGGGCGAGTGAAAGTAACGCCAGACATTCAGGGCGGCATCTGCATCGTCATTGGTGCTGGCAAAAAAGTAAAAGTCGCAGTAGCTGTGCGGCACCAGGCGACCCTCCGTGCGAAAGTTTTCTGCAAAGGATAAAAATAGACGGATATTATGTTATTAATAACTATAAGTAAAATAAAAATTTTAAAAAATCCAATATCGGTTCACCCAGTCGAATGTGCTGAGATAATCACAGATATAGTCGAATTGAGAACTTCCTCCTTTGCAGACTTAAGTCTCTCTCTCTCTCTCTCTCTCTCTCTCTCTCTCATTAAGAGTAAAGTACATCCTTTCCAATTAAAAAAGGAAAATTGATATTGAGTTATTCGTCCATTTGTCGCGCACTTACTTAATGCAAATTTAAGACTTATATGGTATTCTCATGCCATTGTCAGAACTGGACCTAATTAAAATGGGACCATTCACCAGCTTTCAAAAAGGATCATCAAAAATCGATTCACTCAGTGGAATGTGCTGAGGTAACAAATTTAAAAAAAAGAAAACCCACGAGTTAATAGCCTTCTGCTTTTTTGAAGTCGATTCGAAATTAGTTAGATACTTTAAGGAGGGATAAATCAGAGTAGATAAGTCCATCTGAATGTCAATAAACTTGACAGATTGCTTATCTAAATTTGAGAAGAGGCAAGTCTTGTAAATAAATACAGTCCCAGAAGAACATCACTTGGGACACAGCCAGACAGACGGCCAGAAATAGAGTTAGATGGAAAGTTCTTGCAGAGGCCCTTAGCTCCCAAGTGGAGTAAAAGGGAATAAAAAAAACGGAAAAATTGAATGTGTAACCTCTGTCAAAGAACAAGGTTTCCTACTTTCTCGACGATGAAAAGGACAATCTAACAATTGGCCAAAGAAATGAAATAAATTAAAATCGCAGGTTTAATAAAGTGATAAGCGAAGGCTTAAGAATGTGAGAATTAGAATCAATTTTGAACTGATGGATGGGCTCGTCTAGTGTACACAAGTTTTGACGAGTCCAAGGTTTTTCTTGGACGTATGCTCTATTATTTAGGGACTTTGATATGGAAATCCCACATAATGCGCGAATGGGTTTGGCTTCAGATTCGGGCTGGAAACACTAGAAAGGGTGTTGCACTTACCGCGCTTCAAAAATCGATAGGCAGCCGTCAGATTGAGGGTCCAGTCGGCGACCTTAACTGGCGGCTGCTGGAAACTGAGTCGCAACCCAAACAAGCGCCCCGCACTATAAATAGGCGACTCCCGTGCGGCAGGCCCGCTATGTTGACACCAAGTGTGGGTTGGCAGCGTTGAGTTCTCGATGACGGGGTCGCGCAGATACGGAAAGACCTCCACGCTGTCCAAGCAGCTGTCAAAGAATTTGCTTTTAATAGCGTATCAAAAAAATATATGTATGTTGTAATGATGTCTGAAATTTATTGGCCGATACTTTGGGCTGGCCGCTTGGTTGGCTCGTTGGTTGCGTCTAAAAATAGTGCGCTCGACCGCAACGACCAACCAGCGGCCAACGGCGACCATTAAGAAAAACTTGTTGTAGGCGCTCTGTGCTTTTCTCTGTTCTTCACGATTTATTTTGATAAAAAGTCTAACAAAAGTTGGCGTTAAGTTTTAAAGGTAAGAGAAGAGATTCCTTTGGACAGGTGCTTCAGCGGCTACTCGCCCTTGCGCTTACGCATGCCACCAAGCATGCGACAGAATGCCGGATAGTCAATCATGGGCGGTTCCTCCAATGACTTTGGCTTGGCCATTGGCGCATGACTCAGTGCCTCCTTGGCCTCGCTGATGCTCATTTTATCGCCGTAGTTGGTCAATTCCTCGTAGATTCTGTCAACAAGAAAGCAAGAAAAAAGCTATCAGGCCATATAAATTCCCCGATGGCTTGCCACCCACTTGCGCTCATCGATTTTGCCGGTGCCGTAATCATCCCACTTGCTCCAAGCCTCCAGCAGCACTTCCTCCGGATCTAATTCCACAGTGCGTCTGCACATTAGCTGAACGAAAGCCTCATAGGTGAGTGGTTCCTGGGCCTCCTCCATCATTTGCTCCATCAGTTGCTCGTTGGGCTCATGACCCAGTGCCGTGTACGTGAAGCGTAAATCATCTTTGGAGATTAGTCCATCACAGTCCGTGTCGAAAAGGGAGAAAACCTGCGCTTTCGCAATGCCAGTGAGAGCTCTCTTTATATTCGCAAAACTGCCAACTTACTTCCTTCAGTTCCGCCAGCTTGGCTATATCCAGATCCTGTGGCGCCACATGATCATCCGCACGCAGCTCATCGGGCAGGCGGTAATGACCGCTAGACTCGGGCAGCTTCAATGTGGGGTTAAATATCTCATTGATGACAGCCATGGCTTCGGAGTCATGACCGAATTGTGCTGGCGGTTGCGGTGTGTTTGAGGCTTTGCGGGCTGCGCTGGCAGCGCTGGCACGTCGACGTCGCTGCGAAGGTCGTTAGGAGGGGGTGTGTTAGTTGATGAGTCACAGAGCTGTAAAGATTTTCACTCACGCGCTCCAAATCTTCGATCGATACTGACGGATCCATCGACATGGCGGCGATTCTTTTCTAAACTCTATTTTTTTCCGCAACTCACTGCCAGGCTAAGCCACGAATAATTTCTAAAGATTCCTTATTATGTCCACAAAGCTTGTTAATTTCTTGTAATGTGGTTTCACGATCTTTTCGCCTTATAGCCTTTAGCCAACGTTCGCACCGACGCTCTGCCCAAGTTCCACTGAAATTTACGGCGCCTGTGCTCTCCAATTTTATTGACAAATCGATTGCGAAAATTTTATGTTATTTTTATGCCGGCCACTGATGCACAAACACACACACATACATATGTTTACATATTTCTGCAATTTCTGCAATTTTCACATAAATTGACACAAATTTTCGCATAGGCTCTTGGATTTTTATTTATAAACAGGCAGGCGTCCGCTCCACGGACCGCCCACATGGCCGCGCGCATCTCACAGATCCCGCACCTTGCCACCGTGGCCTTCACAAAGTATTTTAATTACATTGCATTGGCAATTGCCAACTACAACTGCAACTGCATTTGTAAATTTGAACAGCCTCGGCGACTATTGCACTTCCTCGTAAGGCGCACAGCTTATCGGCCAAGCTTGATGGTCGATGGTTGATGGTTGATGGCTGATGGCTGATGGTTGACACACAGCTGCCAGAGACTCTGATGACGATGGCGGTGGCTGCGATTCCCAATCAATTTCGCATGCTCCGATCGATGCGCGCTAATGAAGCGAGCACCCGGCATGCCCGGCTTACTGTGAATTATGAACGGAAGCATTTCGGTTTTAACTCACCCGCTGCGCAACTGCAGCTGCTGCAGCTGGAAGGCCACCAGTTCGTCCTCCTGGCCCCCAATGAACACCAACAGGCAGTTATTTTTGGCGCCAAATGCCGAACTGGCATTCAGTGTCAGAGTGCCCCAATGGCTCACATTCCGTTCATTGATATGCAAACAGGAGCAGTCTGTGTGTGAGAAATGCAAACAAAAGTTATTCCAGGCATTCGTTTAGCAGCTCAAAGAAGGGCTTCAAATGTTAACCCATAATGTTAACCTATTCTTGATGTAAACACTTTGCGAAATTATTAAACCACTTACTATAAAGATAGTTGAGAATTACTTATCAAATGCAATGCAAGTTCATTTCAAAATTAAATTAATATGCAGTTTGGCCATCACGGACATTACAAAAGCCTCTAAGTATCTGGCAGTCAGATATAAAAGCAATATCGTATTGGAAGAAGAAAAAATTAAGGCTACAAATAAAATTGTTGAAACAGAAAGTCCGATTTCAGAGATTTAGACGAAATGGACTGAACCTTTTGGAGCCCATAAGGCATCTCTTGTACCTCTTAAGTACAAGGTACACAAGCTAGTAATTCAAATTATTCTTACCTTGCGTTTTTTAACCCAAAAATAATTGTCAATAATTGTGTTCTAATTCAGTTGTAGGTTAAGCTGAGCTATAATTTTGTTCAGCTGTATAGTACCTCCTAGGTTTGTAGCAAAAAATAGATCGATTTTTAAAAGGCTCAAGGGTGTCTTTCGTATTAAACGAAATCCATTAAATCCAACCAAACCTAGCCCAGCCTTTTTTGGAAAAGTTAATACTTTCACTACATTTCCGTTTGCTTGACACTAAGGATTAAAAAACCAGTGCATCCCTTGACTTATAACAATGTTTTAATTGACGCCATATAATTCCCAAAGTATTTATATGAGCATCGGAGAAGTAGGATCTATTGTAAAAATACGACAATTGTTTAGTCTTTTGGAAAGTATTTACGAGCCTTGATTTCAATATCAAATGTACGTTTCATTATCGGGGCACTCATCCTTAGACGTTGGTCTTCTTCAAAAAGCCAAGCAAGTTGAGATACTTGATATGAGAATCGCAGAGAAATGAGGCTTAAACAAACTTAACAAGACTTACCGGACTGGTTAATAAATACGACATTGCCTTAATTAATCAAAATTGCATTGTTTTCCTATTGCTGTTGTTTAAATTTCCCTTAAAACTCCACCTTGTACCCTCACCTAATAAACATATCATTTAAATAACATATATTCAAATGCAATATAAGATTATGATAACAATTTATCTATATAATTTATCTAAATAAATAAATTATAAATTTAAATGTATCTATAAACTAATTAACTTCTTCTTTGTGATATCCCTCTTGGTACTTTTTCTTGCTGAATTATTCGAGGTACAGCATAGAAACTTTCTTCTGAGTTCTCACTAATTACAGCGCAATTGTCTACATCCATGAACAGTTTAAACTAACTCAACTGGCACTTATCAAAGTCGGGTCCATTAAATCACTCTTGAAGCTAATGTGCATCATATCTGTAGCACGCGTCCTCTTGCTTACCCAGCCACAATTCCTGTTGCTTGCTCTTGGCCACTTGCTGAATGGCCCCAGCATTGTGCATCCCAATCCACGTTAGTGTTAGCCAGGTAATGAGGCTACTGGCTGCTGCCATAGCTGGTTAATCTACGTGTCGTCGCGCTGCTGGCCAAAGCGAAACTGTGACGCGGAAATCGGCACAGCGCGACATTATCCTGTGGCTGTGGCCGGCTCTCATGTGTTTGGCTTAAAAATAGCTGGCCATTGTGTGGGGTGTTCGGTCAGTTAATGAAATGGCGCGCCTCTTTTCGTGGCATTAAATTTAAGTTTAGGTTTTTTATGCTGCTTCAGGTGCTGCGACCCGAACAACCGTCCATTGCTAGTTTCACCCCATCCCCCTGTTCATTTCATTAATTTCATTTACCTGCGGGAAAGCTCGCCACATGATGGAAGCAGCAAAAGCATCCTTTAACTTTATTTCGTGAGATATTTTTAAATGGTTTTTCCCCAGCGCTTTGCTGCAGCTTGTTAGCTTGTGCGACTAGCCCCAAGCTATTATTTTTTTGTGTCCATGCTAGAAGTCGAGCAGTCAACGGGTCGTCGTGTTGGTCCAGTTGGCCAGTCAGCAGTTATGAAGCACAAGAGAAGAATATTAGTTGATACAAGCTATTTTATTTTTTTACACTTTACTAATTTGTTATTGATTGTCTCTTCAGCTCTTGCAACCTAAATTGAATCAATTTAATTGACACAATTTGTGGTTGTAAGTAGTTTGGTTGACGACACTTCCATTGAGGAAGTCTCCTATTATTCTCCTCCTTTTTAAGTTTGCTATTGCGAAAGGCAGACAATGTTGATTATATCTAAACAAACGTTCACAGCATAGATGATTTTTTATATTATATAAAAGTAAATATTATCAAAGTCGGTATATTGCAATGTTTGGCATCAACAAACAGTTTCTTTCTAAGCAGTTTCTACTAAGAGGGAGCCCACATTGTTGAGATAGTGTACTCGCTGGGTTTCTTGAAATTTAATTGGCATCCATTATCTCACTTATTTCCTGACAATTTCTAATATGTGTGTCACTTTCATAAAAAATAATTTTTTCTTTGTTTTTGTTAGACATAACCAAATAACCAAACAAAAGAATATGAGGAAGAATATGCTAGAAATGGGATTGAATAGAACCGAGTAAAATAAAATGTTATATTGTAGCAAAGGATATTTGGATTGGATTGAACTAGCAACAAGATACGAATAGAATAGACTATATAAAATTGTACAACCTTGTATCAGTGTACCTCCCCTGGGCTATAATGTAAACGCATCAGGGAGAGAAACTTTTTCACTGGAATTTTAGATTCAGCTTAAGCACGTACACGTTGCTTGTCGAACTTAACAAAACATTGTAGACTTGAGCACCGGGTTTCTTAATTCATGTAATTGAATCGCAGCTAAATCGATAACCTGACACCCGAAAAATTTTTCAGATTATAGTAAATGCTGTTAGAAATTATTAAAAAACTTGGGCTTAACATTGAAAGCAAGTCGTACATATATTTACTAAGGGTAACATTTACAATAAATGATTAGGTGATACTTTTTTATAATGTTTGGCGCGCTGCCTATGCGCCACCCATTTGATTCATCTTCGCCTTGAACATATCAGCCAGCATGATTGCCTTGCTGGCATTAATCTCCTCATAGTCATAGGGAGCCAGATGCTCCTTGCAACGCTCCATCCAGAGTCGGACGTGCTTATACGGCTTCAATTCCAAGCCAAAGGCTTCTATCTGGGAGATTGTAACCACCATAGTCAGATCTGCGATGGTAAAGTGCTCGGCCGCTGCGAATTGGCGGCCCTCGAGTATGGCATTTAGCCAGCCTACGGCCTCGCTGAGTTTGGCTCGCTTGCCCTCATCCAAGGGGGCACCCATGAACATTGTGGGGAACTGTGGATAGGAGAAGGGAATATAAATACATACATATACGATTGCTAGCATTTCTAACACTCAAAAGAAAAAAATCATATTCTTTCAAAAATCAAATAGTGAGAATGACAATAGTTAGGTAATTGCGAAAGTTAAAAGCCTAAGTAGGTTTCCTTATATACTGAAAACCGTCAAAGGTTTTGATAGTTTCGAAATTATTATTCTTTGTTATTATCTCATTGGATCTATCAATATTGATACGTTCAATGATGAATATGGAAGCAGCCCAGCCATAAACTATAGCGAGGTATTTCTACCACAAAATCACTGAAACCCCACTTGGGAGTTCTATGCAATTTATGTCCTTATTTTACGATAATTCCTATCATGTATTATTTACAAAATGCGCAGAATTGGAGCCTAAGCGAACTTTACTCACATAATAATCGGTCATGCGTAGGTAGAGGGTGCCAAGGTCGAACTGCAGGCGCTGATCCACGAGTGCGCGTACACGAATATCCGTAGGATATAGTTCGTCACTCTTGGCATAGGCAGCCACCAGGTAGGATAATATGGCGCGACTATTTGTGAATGGAACGGTTAGTTAATGAGCAAAATTAATGTGAATTAATGCTTGCCAGTTACCTCTCCCAGAGCACTAGTCCTTGATCGTTCATTGTTGGCACACAATGTTGCGGGTTAATGGCTACAAAGTCCGGCTTCAGCTGCTCCCCCTCCAAAATGTTGATGATCTTCAGGTCAAGCTCTAAGTCCAGCATTTTGGCCAGCAATAGAATAGTGCGACAAGGCGGACTGGGCGGCAAATAGTATAGGGCAGGAGGGGACATTTTTCCACCGCTAATAAGCAGACAATAAACAAATTCGGTGACAATGTGTTCGGTATCGTTCATCGGTGGTACTAAAAAGGCCAGCAATGTTGGCCAGCACTTGGAGTCATTTAGCCATTGATGTATTGCCACTGTGGCCGAAAATCGATACCATTGATTTCTATCTTTTATTAATGCTAATTGTGCGCGGGAACCACAAGTTCAAGGGACATTTGTGTCAAATTGTGTTCAATATGCAGTATACTCGTATTTGTATTCAAGGGCTCGTTTACACGTAAAAATAATTGGAAGACAATTTGTCATGGGAAGCAAAACAATTGCATTTCCCATTCCTTCTTTAAATAAACAACTGCCCTATGTACGAGCCCTAACCACAATTAATTGGTAGTGCTAGGGGTTTTTTTTCGATAGTGCTACTTTCAATAACGTATATTTATATTTAGGTGTCGATTGCATACAAATGGCTGTACTTTTTGAAAAGGTCATTTAGTTACCTTGAATTAAATATCAACAAAGACACACGTTTTACATACAAAAAAAGATAAGACAACTTTCTTAATACACGAAATATTTTTGACCATTATTAATTTTTATCATTTAAATAAATCTGTGAAAAAGTGTAAATGTAAAAAAAATGTTTAAAATAATTGTTTATAGAATATTGTGATGATTGAGCTGTAATTTAGGTTCAATTTTCTACTTTTTGAGCACGATGGAACGTGGTAAACAAGTTTGTGAGCAAGGTCAAGCAATTAATCGTGCTGAGGGCTCGTATATGTACATATATATAGTGAGATAGGGATAAAGGATACACATGTCGATGCTTTGTCAATGGATATGCTTGTCTTATCTTTTTCGGTAGATATCTTGTTTGGTAATTAGTGCCCGTGCTAATTCTATTTGCTTTTCATTTTACATTCGGGTACTCTGTACTACAAGTATAAATTATTATTGGCAAAATGTTAGCCCCAAGCGTTCATTTGCTTGGCTTTTCAACTATTTCGGCCTAAACTTAAGTTTTTTTTTTTGTTTTGGTCCATTAAGTGAATATTAAGCTATCGGAAATAAGCTTTTTTTTTTGTTTTGATAAAACTTTAATTTTACTGTTATTATTTACAACAACTTAAATTAAACTTATAGAAATATACAAATAAGCATTGGAACTTTCATGCAGTTGTAACTGAAATTATATGGAATTGAAACGTTAAAGCATACTTTTGGGGCGCGGCTTAAATGAAAGTTTGTTCATTGCATACTTTTAAGCGTGTGCGTTGCTAATGTTTTTGCTAGTGTTGTATAAATTCACAAACTAAGGCATACTTTAAAGGTACGACTATTTAAAAATTAAACCATATTAGGTTTACATTATCCCGTAATTAGCAGCTTGCCTCGGTTGTTTTTCATTTTTTTTGCGAAAAAGTCTATGTTCTTCAAGCAATTTACTTGCGCGGCTTGCATGTAAATTATGACTTCTACCACTTTGCATTTTCAGTAACTATCATAAATTGCCTGCAGCTACAAGCATGTGCTTAAGACAAATACATACATATGTACATACATACTTATATAATAAATAATGCACCGCTCGTCTACTCACACGATCTTATGGACGAGCTTGTGCTGCACCACGGCCACCGAATCTATATCTATGCAGTTCCCCAGTGTGTTGTATGGTGTTGAGCGCGTTCAACTGTCGCCAGACCCTGCTGAGTGTTGAGTGTGTCCTGTCGGAGTCCTGGGCTCCTGCTGCTGCTTCTATTTCTGCTATTAATGATGAGGATGTTACGCTTTGTGTTAACTTGCCAAACAGTCCGTTGATATATCCTTGGGCCTGTCTAAATTTCGTGGTGCTCGTACAGGCGGCAACGGCGGCAGGACATGTCGTCGCTATCTGTTTATTTTTTGTTATGCTGTTTTCGTTTTTAGTTTCATAACGAACGTTGCCGGGACGACCGTCCTCGAATCGTGTGCTGCTTCGTTCGCCTAACGTGTGTACACCTGAGCCACCCGTTTTGTTGGGGCAGAGGGGCACGGCTGGTTAAACTGCCCTAAAGCGACGAAACTCGGTCAGAATTGGTTCGTGCTTAGTCTAAAATTATACCACTACATAATTTCCTTTTCGTATATTTTATTTTTTATTGATTGCTACAGCTCTTTTCCAAATGAATGCGCCAGCCAGATGGGCGGCATTTACAACATCAATTAAGTTGAAGTGTTTTAGGGTAGCATGTTATTTGAATGTGTTTATTGCAATATTTCGTTCACATCGAAAGTTAGCGTGTCTGTCTTTGCAAATGTACTATATGCACTTGTATCGGAAATACACTTTCCCTTGCAGTTACATGGACTGACAAGTGCATTAGTTTCAGATTCAAGGAATTTAACGGCCGTTAATACAAACATATTGAACGTCAAGAAGAATCAACAAAAATGCAATTGTTCAATATGCATTTTATATATACAAGTACATACTAAGTATACAAGTATATACATTTATGTACTGTGACCAATAATTGAATTGCTGCTTGAACTGCAATTAGTTTTAAAACAGAGAAGTTGGCAGAGAAGTTTCTCAAGAATATTTGATAACGTTGCTTAGGGTTTTTAAAAAGTCTCGTTCATCAACCAAGACGTGAAAATATAAATTTTTATGTTCTGTACCTGAATGGTGCAAAATTTCGCTTATAAATTTTCTTAACATTTTTAAATTTAAATGAAATTTCTTTTTTTTTTTTTTTTTTTTTTTACATATATACAATTTATTAAACTAGTTTTCTACTACCAATATGGCAGCTTAAGCTAGTTAAAAGTTAGGGAATACAAAAGTTGTCTATAGTAAGCATCTATAGGACGCACTTATATCTATGTACATATATACAATATTTACAATGTTTTACATTAGAAATGAAATTATATTTTATGATATATATTATATATTTTATACAAGGGATCTTGTGGGGAGATCCTTTGGATGGCACTTCTTCAATCTTCTCTTCTTAGGTTTGGACAGGAGCCGCCTCGCTAGTGCGTTGAGGTGACTGCCGAGTCGCTTCTCGTAATTGCTTGCGTGCATTTGAATGACATCGCCAACCTTGGGGACACATAAGTCTCTTTCGATGTCCCTAGTGCGCATATACCAGGGAGCGTTGCATATTTTTCTGAGTATTTTAGCTTGCGCAACTCTTATTTTATTTAGGTTCGATGCAGCGGCAATGCCATAAATTGGTAGCGCATACTTCCATATTGGACTTAATATGGACTTGTATACTGTCACCTTACTGTGCAGAGACAGCTTGTTGCAGGGTGCAAGCAGCCATGCCATCTTTCCGGCTTTTGCCATGACCGATCGCTTGACCATTGTTGTATGCTTGCTGAAGTTGAGTCTTCTGTCCAGAATGACACCAAGATATTTGTGCGAATTTGTATGACTGAGCGTGGACCCCAACATTGTGATATCTCTGCATGACGACGGCCTTGTTGTAAATGTGACATTCGCACACTTGCTGGCGTTGATACCAATGTTCCAATTCAGAGCCCACTTCTCGAAACTACTTACATACTGCTGTAAGGCTTCCGAAGCTACATCGATATCTCTGCATCTGGTAAGCACCGCAGTGTCGTCTGCGTAAGTAGCTAAAATGAAATTTCAAATAGGTTTGGAGAATTGTTTATGTAGCTTTGCAATTGTAAACAGTATTGACGAAAATGGGTGGAAAAAACTAAAAATTCGTATTATGGGATCATTACAGGATCAGCCATTTTAGAAATCCAGAGAGGCAGTGGAAAAACTGAACGACAAGACCGATTTCTATCGTCAGGCTGATTAAGAATGTAAATTTACTTTATGTATATGAGTTCGGAGATGTTTCCCTTTTCCTGTTAAAAACAAGGTATGAAAGGTATCATCAACCTTTAAGTATAAGGGAACTTTTTACTTATGATAGTTCCATGATTTAATAATGGATTCGAGAAACATATAATAAGTAATAGACGATTCTCGAGATACAATCAAATTGCTAAAAAGCTGCCCACTTCATTAAGTACTAAAATTATACAAATTTCATGCTGAATTTAAAAGGTTAACACGTGCTGTAATTATCGTGAATGGGCGACATTTCTTGTCACGCACACAGCTTTATCTGAGCATCTACGGGTAATAGCTAATAGTTGGCCATTTATTTCAGCCACGACTGTGAGTGTCATAAACGTTAGGTTATTTTGCACGCACATTTGTCGCACTTGACGGTTACCTGGCTGGTAAGGCAGGTAAATACTTGTAGACAACAATGGGAGAACTGAAAAATTCTAAAAATCCAAAGGACATTAGCGTAACCGAATTTCCCGGAATGTGTGACATTAATTGCCACCAGACAGCGCTCAAAATGTGTGAAAATATATGTGGAGGACTCCAGGCATATAGGCGAACCTATAAATGCAGCGACCAGCGCAGCAGGATGCTTAGTCCTAAGCAGGATTCTGAGCCAGTCAAGTTAAAGAAAGGAGCTTGAAAATGATTTGCGGAAATGTAAGCAGAGTCGGCTCTGCTGTGTTGTTGCTGTTGCTTTGGCGTGGAACACTTGTGGCTTCAGTGCCAGCACTGGAAAGTGCGCCGCCGGCAGCGACACCTAATTCCATAGAGGAGATGAACAAGCTGCCCGATAGCAACGGGGATAGTAGTCTGACACAGGCAACGGTTGCCAACGAAACGAGTCAAAGAGAGCCACAAGAACAGTCTGTGGTAAGCTATTAAAACACTATTTAGTCAATCACTTTGCTAACATCAATCAATGCTTTATTTCGAAATCCGCAGCCCGACAATGTGGTTACGGGCAGCAGCCTAGAACCGTCGTCAATATATGCTAGCGGTCTCATCACACCCGAGGCCTTCCAGCAATATCTACACCAGTATGGTGCCGCTGCGGGCTATGCACCCTATGCCGGAGCCTATCCCGCGCCCATCGCTAACGCACCCGGAATTTATCCATATCCTGGTCCCATAGTCGTGCAGACTGGCTACGAAGGATACTTAGTGCCTGCAACTGTCGCTGCGGCAGGCGAGGTTAGTGGCACATCTGCGGTTAGTTCCACATCGACGCCATCCACAAATCCACTGATGGCCTTCATCTCGAAACTGCTGCCAACGATTCTGATGTCGACACTGTTCCGCATCGCTGCCGTCATCCTTTCCGCCGTGGGCATTATAATCTTTGGTGGTGCCATCACCAACGCGGTCTGCCGTCTGACACCCATTTGTGATTTTCAGAGCAAGGCCGTTGATTATTTGCGGTCGGGTGGCGCTGAGGATGTCGGCCGCATGTTAGCCGAGGAAATGACTCCGGAACGTGTGCGCCGAGCCACGGAATTTGTGCGCAACGCCATTCGAAAGTATCGCCAGTTGCAGAAGCTTGCTGAGAGCCACGACGAGAAGGCGGACTAGACGTGGAGCGGTGTTAAGCATATTGAGATTAAGTTTTATTAGTAGACCATTAAGTGCGCATATAAAAGAACATGCATTGTGTGGTATGTAAATAAAAAATCAAATGACTAATGGGACCAACAAAATCCGTAAGCGTCATATATATTATGCGTTTCGTTGCAACACGACTAAGGATAACTCTGACGCTATTACATAAGTATAGAAGAAGAGCTACTCCATGAAGACTTAACGGCCTTGATGACAAATGGGCAGAGCTAAGAGAAAGCATATGCATTTACTGTGATGTCAACCCTGTACCGGAAAGGTATACTAGAAGGTCTAAGCCCCATATATTATAAGTATATGATCATCATAATCGGCTGAGTCAATACATTCGTAGACTTGTCAGTCTTTCTATCCGTATATACACTTTTGAAACATAACAGTTTTTGTCACCTAAGTTGGCAATAGACTATCCATCTGTCCTATCCATCTGTCCTACCCATTTGTCCTATCCATCTGTCCTATCTGACTGCCTTAGAACCAATTGTAAAGTAAATCTTAGCACCAAACACATTTTTTATTATTATTACGATATCGTTACCAAAATGATGTTTGTGAGGTTTTTATCGTACCTCAATAAAAAATTGGTACACTTTATCATAAAGCAATAAAATCGATTCGTTTACTAAATTTTTTGTTAAAGCACGGTGGGGTATACATACACTCTATACAACGAGTTAAAATCTTATCTCCTACTACTTGTACATTGTAGTCGAAACCTTGGCAATACAAAGATTCTAGAATAAATGTATGACAGTTTTCCTTTACTTACTTTCTTAGTCGTGATACTATCGTCGTTGGCGATAGCAATGTTTACCTTTTAATTTAATATGATAATCATAGAAGCTCTACTTAATACAGTAACTGCGACTATTATATTATAAAACTGGCACGCATCAATAAAGTGTATTGATTTTTGCCCCACCTACTTCATTAGTTCAGTTTTCACAAAGACATTGATAGGTCTATTTATATAAAATATATATTAAATAAAATATTAACTGAATAAATAATAGAATATTAAAATATTAACACAAATACAAAACGTATTAAAATTGAATCCTTTTGTTACCGCAATTATCTAAATGTGATTTGAACTCACATTCAAAACCATTTTTATACCCTGTATCCGTAGGGTAAAAAGGGTATATTACGTTTGTGCAAAGTATATTAGGTTTGTGCAAAGTATGTAACATGCAAAAGGAAGCATCTCCGACCCCCATAAATTATATATATTCTGAATCAGCATGACAAGAGAAATCGATCTAGACATGTCCGTCCGTCCGTCTGGATGAACACAAGGATCTCAGAAACTATAAAAGCTAGAATAACCAAAGCTAGCATCCAGATTCTCCTAGGTCCGATAAAGGACGAGTTTATTTTTTTTTTTAATTTTCCTTCCCTTCCCCCGCTACAGAATTTCGTCAATAGCGTCCACATTTTATTCAATTCGGTCAATTCTAAGAAAAGTTATTAGCGAAACAAATTCTCTACAGTACAACCCCCACAAACTGCAGCAACAAGTTCGCTCTTCTTCTTCCTCTTTTTGCTGCTGCTATGGGCGCATATAACTCAGTGACGGAAGTTTACCTGGGTACAGGGTATTACACTGTTGGGCTTGCTCGACTGTAGCGTTCTCTCTTGTTTATAATATGTATAAAGCGGAAATAAATTCGCGCCGTTACGTTAGTTACAATTAGTATGCCCGCTTAAAATATATTTTTAACTCACATTTCAAACCTCGCTTTTCACATCACATATCTCGATGCCAAGAATTCCAATGCCATAAGCGTCACGATTATCTAGTATCTGAGTTAGCAAAGCATTGGCATTTGTTCTAATCGTGAAACAGTCAACGGCCCGCGAGCGGATTTAAAGCCCGATAACTGAAATTATCGCGTGTATTGTAGTTAGTTTGATTAGAATTCACAATACTAATAGATATAGCATAGCCGAGTCGTTACATAATCGTAGTATGATAAAGTTCTTGCACTTGATTTATCATATTATAATGTAATTCTTTGCATTCTATCAATGTCAATTCCTTTGTTTTCAAATTTTAGAGTTAACTCAAAATTGTTGGATTTTCTGAAGTGTTAATGGATTTCTTTTTTCCCGTAACGAATTCGATCTCAATTGATGATTGAATTCTGCAAAACCTGTTCTTGCTTCACCACGAAACGTAGAATTGAATATATGTACTTGTATATTTGAATGAATAATAATTAAAAATAAAAGTAACACTGTATACTAAATTGTAATTAAATAAATATACTATTTGTTGATCACAACAAATAAACGTTAGCCTAGGCTTTTTTGAAGTCTGCAATGCGTTTTTTCAGATCCTCCAGGCCCGCTAGGTTCTCATCCCAGCCGGGAGTCACCTTTTTAGCATTCTCGTACCACTTGGCCACATTCGAATAATTCTTGATACCAAAACCAGCCACATCAAATGTAGAAACGGTGGCCAAAATGGTAATATCAGCCACAGTCAGATGATCTCCAGCCACGTACTGCTGCCCCTCCAAGAAGGTGTTGAGGAAGCCAAATGCTTTTTCAATTTCCTTAAATTTTTCGGGATCGGCGGGTGTCTTGAACCGAAACTGTGGATAGTAATAGTCGGCGAAGCTCTTGTACAGCGTGCCCATGTCGAAGTACAGGCGTTGATTGACCAAAGCCTGCTGCTGGGGATCCTTGGGAAAGAGCGAGTCATCCTTGCCATACTTCTCGGCCAAGTAGACAATAATGGCACGCGATTCCCAAATCGAGAACCCATTGTCCACCAGAGTGGGAATTGTGTGCTGTGGATTGATTTTAATAAACTCTGGCTTGAGCTGCTCGCCCTCCATGGTTTTCAACAGCTTCTTATTCAGCTCAATTCCCAAAGCCTTGGCCGTCATGATGACAGAGCGGCAGGGGGCAGAGCCGGGCATATAATAAAAGTCCATGGAGCTGTGTGGGTTTATGTGGTGCGCCGAGAATAAGAGAGCATACTGATTTTCGTTGGGTGGAGTGCGAGGCATTTATACACCAATATTTTTACTGTTATCGCAAAAAAACAACTGATTAGATACGAGCAACCGGTCTCTCGCTCTTCAATTAGAGTAGCAGCTTCAACTAATTTGGGTTTTTATTTTTTTTGTTTTCGTCATAAAATAGTGCTTCAAAATCGGAACTGGAAAAATTGTTTGTCACCGTTACTTTTGTAAACATTTGCATGCTGGAATTATTTGTTTTAAATCATATTGTGAAATACAAGTGTTACAGAAGCTTTTCGACTTAAATTGTCTTATCAGTTATAAAACCGTGCCCGTGAATGTGCGAAATTGTTATTAAAAAATAAAACAATTGTATGATTGAGCACATTATTTAAATAGCTTGTTGGCTGTGCATATACACATATGTACAATATACATATGTACTGATTTGTGTGCATGCTTTTTATTTTTGTAATAAAAAACACTTTAGAGCAGCATTCCGCTACTCTTATCGATAGTGCTCCGTCATTTTTTAAGTCACCGGGTGGTACTACTTGCAAGCTTATCTTCTGGAAGTTTTTTTTTGTTTTTTGTTTTGGAGATCGTGGCGATAAAAAGGTACATTTCGAGCATTCAGTTGACGACAAGAATGCTTAGAAAATGGTGAAATAAAATAAAATAAAATAGGTTCTCCGATTTAAAAAGATTCTCGATCGATTGCTGTGAAAGTGTTTAAACAAACAACATTTTCTAATAAAAGTTTAAGATTTTGTTGTACATAAATATATATAAATATATTTTTTTTGCAGTAGAAGATGCATTATTTGTATGAAAGCCATGCTCCCTTGTAATATTAATGATAATTTATTTAGCTGTGTAGATTTGTAGCTCATTGGCTTAGCCAGCAATGCCCTAAAGCTCAAAAAATGCCAGCTAAGCACAAAACAAGCCTTCCGTGTCACGTCCCCTACCAGCAGGCCATGCGGCAGACTTGGATTCTGGCGCTCTCCAACGCTTTGATCAATGACCATATTATATGCAACGTATTATATCATACACCAAATACATACATATATAAACACCCATACATCTATCAGTTAGATGAACGCGCTGCTCACTTAAGCGATCTTTCTCTTTTTTTCGCTTTGTCGCCTCTCTTGTGGTGTTCACTGGCAGAGTTGCGCTGAATTTCGTGAGCAGGTGACGCATAAGCAGGCGGCGTACTGGTCTCTGGTCTCCGGTCTCCGGTCTCCGGTCTGACGCTTCGCCAGTCTCCGTGACCTTTCTCTACATTTTGTTGGAGCCTAACTTGGTAGACCCCCCCCCCCCCATTCGTCTCGCTCTTTTGCTGTGGGAAACTTGTTAGGTAAGTTCTTTTGTTTATGGTTTGCCGATCCAATGAATTCAAAAATTATGTACAAATGAGTAGGTTTCAGGTTTTTACGTTTGTCCAGTCATTTCTAAGATTTTTGGGGGTTTCGGTTTCTATAATATGAATAATAATGTTGCTCATCGGCGCTCAATTTGTGCAGGGGTGCCCCAAGGCAGTGTTCTCGGTCCTACCCTGTATACATTATTTACTGCTGATATGCCTGCACCGCAAGAGATCATTGGAGTAGACGAGGATGACGCACTAATAGCTACTTACGCAGACGACACTGCGGTGCTTACCAGAAGCAGAGATATCGATGTAGCTTCGGAAGCCTTACAGCAGTATGTAAGTAGTTTCGAGAAGTGGGCTCTGAATTGGAACATTGGTATCAACGCCAGCAAGTGTGCGAATGTCACATTTACAACAAGGCCGTCGTCATGCGGAGATATCACAATGTTGGGGTCCACGCTCAGTCATACAAATTCGCACAAATATCTTGGTGTAATTCTGGACAGAAGACTCAACTTCAGCAAGCATACAACAATGGTGAAGCGATCGGTCATGGCGAAAGCCGGAAAGATGGCATGGCTGCTTGCACCATGCAACAAGCTGTCCCTGCACAGTAAGGTGACAGTATACAAGTCCATATTAAGTCCAATATGGAAGTATGCGCTACCAATTTATGGCATTGCCGCTGCTTCAAACCTAAACAAAATAAGAGTTGCGCAAGCTAAAATACTTAGAAAAATATGCAACGCTCCCTGGTATATGCGCACTAGGGACATCGAAAGAGACTTATGTGTCCCCAAGGTTGGCGATGTCATTCAAATGCACGCAAGCAATTACGAGAAGCGACTCGGCAGTCACCCCAACGCACTAGCGAGGCGGCTCCTGTCCAAACCTAAGAAGAGAAGACTGAAGAAGTGCCATCCAAAGGATCTCCCCACAAGAGCCCTTGTATAAAATACATAGTATATATCATAAAATATAATCATTTTTCATGTAAAACATTGTAAATATTGTATATATGTACATAGATATAAGTGCGTCCTATAGATGCTTACTATAGACAACTTTTGTATTCCCTAACTTTCAACTAGCTTAAGCTGCCATATTGGTAGTAGAAAACTAGTTTAATAAATTGTATATATGTAAAAAGTCAAAATGTTGCTCATCAAAAGTTGTCACAGATTGTTGGCCGCTTGGATTCTTCTAGAAGTGAGATGTTCGCTCTTATGGGGAAGTTTGTCAAGCTCTTCACGAAGTGACGCATATCTTGACGTTTGCCTTGAGGGAGCACCACACTGACGTGTACATATGTATGTATCTATGTATGTACATATGTATATGTACATAAGGCCTGCGAAATAAGTCACCTTATCAACATATTTTTCTTAATTAAAACAAAAATCTTCGATATTTTAAAATGATTGTAATTTTTCCTTAAACTTTATAAAATGACAGTTTAAATTCAGTTTAGTAATATTTAAGAAATTATAAGAAACTTTTTTAAAAATTAAATGAAAATTTTTCCGAACGAAATAATTGAACTGATCAAATTCAAAAAACTATATTTATATCTCGATTTACTTGTGTTTTTAGCGGTAATTGTTTAGATATGTCCTCCATTACTATTAATTACTCTTAACATGCGATCTGGCATTGAACTAACCAAGTCTTGAAGAAGTGATCCGTCCAATTTGGCCCACTCTGTTACGATTGCTTCTTTTAATTCTTTCAAGGATCTAAATTGTCTGCCATGCATGTAAACCTTACTGGAAAGGATTCCCCAAAGGTTCTCTATGGGATTAAGATCTGGACTTTTTGCAGGCCACATCAAAAGTGGTATTTTTTTATCCTCAAAAAATTGTTTTGTGCGTTTTGAGACATGGATTGGAGCATTGTCCTGCTGGAATGTCCAATAATCTTCACACATTTCTTCTCCAAAATGAATCAGGTTTTCGTCCAATAGCTCTACATAGTTTTCGGAGTTCATTTTATGTGAGACAAAGCATATAGGACTCTTTCCACCAAAGCAAAATGCAGCCCACACCATTAGCGATCCTCCTTGAAAATTGCGCGACACTTTCATTTGTTTGGGGGTCCTGAGGTCACGATAATAATATTGATACCCATCTGGTCCATCTAAATTAAATTTTTTTCATCACTGAAAATCATTTTTTTCCACTCCAGGTCCCAAAACTTATGCATTTCTGCATAGTGCATGCGGGCAACTTTGTGCCGAGGAAGTAGTTCACATTTGACGGTTTTTTTTTTCATATGAAATGAATTGATCGGCTCGTAAAATTTGTTGCACGCGACGTTTTGACACTGAGAGATCCAGTTCCTGACAAATTTCGCCTGCGCTCAAGTTTTCTTTGAGTGCTAACGATTTTATTCTCCTCTTATCGCGATTTTGTACCAATGGCGGGCGACCGGAGCGTGGCTTTTTTCCGTGGTGTTCGGGGTCTTTCAAAAACTTTTGTATAGTAAAAAAGCTCCTTTGTATTTTGGAAGCAATTTCACGTAAGGGCATTCCAGTTTCTCGATATACTAATATTTTAGCTCTTTCTTTATCAGATAGGTAACGGCTTTGATGCATTTCTACTAAAATTATGGTTAATTATAATCTGATCTAATATTCTAAGCCTGGGTTAAAGTGTAAACTCACTTATTTAATTTTTTTAATTATAAATCCCAAAATTTTGATGAAAATGGCCCTTGAATGCACTGGTACAATGACAAAAACTGATTTGATCAGCTCAATTATTTCGTTCTGTAAAGAGAGGCAGCAGCAATTTTCGATAGAAATAACGGTAGTAATAACGGATTTCTGCTTCTCCTTACTGTTTTAAGCAAGAGAATTAGATGAAAGCAAACTATGCAAAAAATGAAGTGGAAAACATAAATGGTAAATCTGTGGCATTACGTTATAAGCATGATAAGGTGACTTATTTCGCAGACCTTACATACGTATTTGACATGACAGTGTTTTGCTGTGATTGTTTGCTTTAATTTTTGCTGCCTCATGCTGATAGTTCGCCTCACAGCGTTCTCCTGACACATGTATTCTCTGAGAATTTGTGATCGATATGCAAGTGTTTTCAGTTACACATTAAATTGGCTTTGCAATCCATATACAAATATGGTCGACAACACCGGGCCAAAACAAGTTGTTTGGAATTACTACAGCGCAGCTGGTTTGTGGCATTAAAAAATGTGGTTTGTACTTGCCGAATAATAGAGTCGACTCGTAATGGTGGCAAAACTCTTTGCGGTCATTTGAGCCATTGGCTCTGGCCCAAGCCATTAACAGAGCAGTGACTTCCATTTGCGACCCAAGCAATGACAAAGGTACATATTTCAGATGTGGGAGCAGTATAGCCTTATACTCGTAATTGCAGCTGTGCGTGTCTATAGATATCTCCAATGGACACCCACTCTGAGGGGCGACATGACATGCTAAAATATGAACACCAAGTTAATCGATAGAAATGACTGTATGTAGGCAGACCTGACTGTGTGTTTTTGAAGTACAAACATATGTACATACTACTATTACATACATATATATAAGTAGTAGTATATACTTTCGCTTTTATTTCACCAGCTGTGACGGGTAAAGGAAAAATGTAAGCTGATCGCCGATAGGGAATGACGTTATCAAAAAGGTCAAGTCATGAAAAGCAATTACTCGAGCTCCGTGTTTTATCCAACCCTTTTGTGATATGTCGTTCAAATTCAGAGATTAGTACTAGTTAATAATTATAATGATAATATAAAACTTAAAGAAAAATACTTATTAATTATTATTATTATTGTGAGCTTCATATAATAAAAGCATAGCTTCCAATCCATTGTTATTTGCTGCTTAAAGATATAAGAGGGAAATACAATCATATCCGATTCCTTATATGATGTCATACATACTATATGTACATATCTTTATTACGTAAGGGAGCTGCGGCTTTGCGATTTATGGATTCAATTGTGCCGTAAAATGCACAGTTTTTAGATGAATACAATATTTTTTGACGGACGTACTATGTATGTATGTATGTATATTAATGTTGGTATGTACGTTTGTGTGCATATTTCTTTCTTTCTTTAATGCGTAACAAACATTCATAGGTATTTATAATACCCATTGCTAAGTTGATTTGTGGAGGTATGAATAGCCATTTAAAGTTCCAAACGTTTTACTTGTATACACGAAAAAAAGAACACAAAAGAATTCTGAAAATGAGCTGTCTGTCATTCAAATTCTGTAAAATCCCAAAGAGTATCGAATTAACATATTTGCATATGTACATATATACATACATACATACACATTTATATGCATTTATTTTTTCATATTGATATTCCAATTTTTTCTAAACGCTGCGAACGTTTAGACATACTCGAAAATAAGTCAATAGAATGCTAAAATGCAAGTCAATGCACCTTGCTTTGCAGAAGAGTGCATTCATATGTATATAGTATGTATGATTATAAGTATTTACATACATACATGTACAATGTACATGTAACATTTATGGAGTTTGCTAACATATTTGAACAATCTTTGGAGAGCAATGTGTAGAGAATATTTGGCTTTCTGCCAACTGCTGATACGCGACCGGCAGTTACCAGCCGGCAGTTGATATGAATTTAAGTTTGATTTTCAAAATACATACATACATACAAATACAAATGTATGTATGTATACATATGTGTTTTTGCACAAGCTGATAAAAAATATTGTGTTTATTTTTGATTTTAAAATATGTTTATGTATGTATAAACATATATGTATGTATGTATGTACTTGTGTATATACGAATGCAAATAAAATTAGCTTGGCAGCTGCCTTATTTAATAATATTAGTATGAAACCCACAGAGGCAAAGCTACGATTAACCCAAAGGCAATTATATTTAAACATATACCCAGCACATGAAATTATAATATGTTTGTGTGTAAGCTCTATTGTGTATGTCTGTTTGTATAAGCATTAGAAGATAAATAAGCAGACACAGCCAACCAGGCAAACACAAGCGGCAAATATGTATGTTTGTATGTAGATATGTACACATACATATGTATATGAATTGGCAGACGAAAAGAAATGATGAACTACCCAAAAACATGAGAGCAAGAAAGAGGGAGAGAGAGAAACGAATATGATCAAAAACAACTCTCCATAAGTTTATGTACACATTCTCTTAATTGCTTTATACTTTTGTACATATGTACATATATATGTGTGTGTATGTACGTATCAATGTTAGTAGATCAACAAAATAATGCAAGTTCATTAGAAAGCTGCACCTTGTTGCAAAATGTTGGCTGTGGCACAACAAGTGAAGGGCGTGCTCCACTGTCACAAACATGTACATATACATACATACGTACATACATACGTACATACATACGTACATACATACGTACATACATACGTACATACATACGTACATACATACGTACATATAATGAGCCTTACATCGCCCTGTAGTACTTAGATTCAGCGTTTCCACAGTCACCAGGGGTCATCGCGACTTTTGTAAAGTATTTCAAGCGTTCAAAATTTTAATTTCGATTTTTCAAATCCAGCAGAAGAGAAAAACCAATTAGAACACAACAACTGTTTACCCATTGTGAGGTAATGTTAAAGTGTTGAGCGCCAAAAAAATAGTACAAATATTTCAATGGCAGGTGTTCGAATCCCGGTTAGTAACAATAATAAAATCAAAAATGAAAATAAAGACTTACGGAAAATAGCGAAAAAAAATGATAAACATACAGTAAAAAGACAAAAATGATCATTTAAGTACATTTGTCACCGGCAAGAGATAAACGCCAAAGCAGGGCCGACCCTTTGAAATCGAACATCGACATTCGAATAGCAATGGACATGGCTCTGTAAAATTAGTAAGCCCTAAGGAATAACCAACGCAGGGCTGGCGACCGTGTTACTCTAGGGGAATTTTTGTGTATATTTCGATTGTTTTATCCACGTCATGCACACAGACAGAGCTCATACAGAAACAGAAACAGAGACCGGTCCCCCGGTCACAAACACGCGAAAACAATTCGCTATGTGACGCGGCTCTCTCCACATAGCGGTGTCTTTTGTTAGGCCCCTGCCCCTTCCCTCATTTAGATTGTTTGCATGTGCTTGTTGATACATACATACATATGTACATATGTATTCGTGTTGCCGGCATTCGTCAGAGCAGCTTTTCAATGGCGTCTATCCGAGCAACGCTATAAAAGGCAGCGGTCTCTCCAAGCGCACATCAGTCGTTGCTTGTACAGTGCGCCGTGAGTTTTCATCGAGGAAATAAAATGTAAGTTATTTTTGTGTGTGTGTGTGGCGAAAGGAAAAAAAAACTTGTTGAACAAAAAATAACAGTGCGGTGTAGAAATTAAAATATAGTTGAAAAAACTGCCGCGGACAACTTAAGACAAATATCTCAAACATTATGGCTGTGCAAAAGGATTTCGCTTTTGAAATCTATTTTTTATTGTGAAGTACAACAGTTTCGTGCATTTTATAAATGAGTGTACATACTACATACATATGTACGTATGTACATGTGTACATACATATGTATATAGTTATCTATGAAAATATTCCTCTGAAAATGTTCTAATTAGTGCGCTCTGCGTGTCATTGCAGAAATATGGATTTCTACTACTTGCCCGGTTCCTCTCCATGCCGCTCCGTCATCATGACCGCCAAGGCGGTTGGCGTTGAGTTGAACAAAAAGCTCCTCAATCTGCAGGAAGGCGAGCACCTGAAGCCCGAGTTCTTGAAGATCAATCCTCAGCACACCATTCCCACACTGGTGGACAACGGTTTTTCGCTTTGGGAGTCGCGCGCCATTCTGGTCTATTTGGTGGAGAAGTACGGCAAGACCGACTCTCTGTACCCCAAGTGCCCCAAGAAGCGCGCCCTGATCAACCAGCGTCTGTACTTTGATATGGGCACCCTGTACCAGAGCTTTGCCAACTACTACTACCCACAAGTTTTTGCCAAGGCACCCGCAGATCCAGAGGCCTTCAAGAAGATCGAGGCTGCCTTCGATTTCCTAAACACATTCCTGGAGGGTCAAGAATATGCCGCCGGCGATACCCTAACCGTGGCCGATATTGCGCTGGTGGCCAGCGTATCCACCTTCGAGGTGGCTGGCTTCGACATTAGCAAGTACGCCAATGTGAACAAATGGTACGAGAACGCCAAGAAGGTCACACCTGGCTGGGATGAGAACTGGGCCGGCTGCCTGGAGTTCAAGAAATACTTCGATTAAGTGATTTTGATATACGCGATATATATATTTTATATAATACATATTTATTAATGTTCACATACCGATTTGAAATCGTCAAAACATACTCGTTTGTATGTATGTTCGTATGTTAGTTTGCACCAAAGCTGCTGGATGCAAAGAGTTTTCTATGAAATAAAGAGTATTCATTTTTACTGAATAAAACTAATGAGAGTTTGCAGTTGAGTATCAAAGAGAAGAGAGGGAACTAAAGAGGGCGACAAAAAGTCAACGACTTTGTGTTTGTTTAGATTTGTATATGGAAGTGTACTATATAGTATACTATATAATACTATATATAAGTAAACAATTTTCAAATGCAAGCCCCTTGTGTGGCTGATAAAGCTGGGAGAGCAAGTGTGCCAATATCAGATAAGATACGAATACGACATTATAAATCACTTTTATTGTTCAAATGTGTGTTGTTTTGTTTTGGGAGGCCCAACTACATACGTATTGTACCTCCTGCAGCGAATTTGTTGTTCTATAAAACGGGGCTACATTTTACTACCAAGATTTTTTATAAGTTTCCCTTGAATATAGTTTTATAAAAGGTATTTATGATTTACCTTTCCAGATGGTGCTCTAAGCAGTCAGACATCATTATACAATTTAAAAATGAAACTAACTTAATCTAACAAGCACCCAAAGTTAATCAAACTGTCAGCAACATTTTTAAAGCGTGGTTGAGCTCATATTTCTTGGTTAGTAAAAAACTGGAAGGGCTTTTTTTAATGATGTCATAAAATAACTTTCGTGACAATATTGTAGAAATGTTCGCAGAAAAGAAGAATTATTGTTCTACATAGCTTTTAATTGACGTTAATTAATAAATAGCGACTATAGAACTTAAATAATTTCCAAGATACTATCCACCTCGGGTGGAACAAAAACTAAAAATAAACTTAAAAGCAAGCTACATCACTCATTCCCATCACAGCTTCATGATAATGTTCACGTGTTCACATACTTGTAGTTGATATTTTAGGAACTTGTTTGTGAAAACATTGGTTAGGTTAGGTTGAGATGGCTGGTGGTGCCATATAATCTCCTTGGTTATCATTGGTCCGCTTTTAAACATCCGGTATTATTCACGAATTGACCTAATTTCCCGATCTCCTGTTTTGGCTTTTCTGTAAAAAGGGTTGCCCCAGAGCCTGAGAGCGCTGGGTGCTTTTCAATAACAAAGCATCCTCAGCTTAACAGATATTATATTAACAGAAAATTTTCACGACACATGTCAAATTATTGAAAATCTGTTTTTAATATTCGGAGGTGGATGTCAACCTTCATTACGATATTATATATCGAGCACTCCTATGCCATATTTGAGTTTCTTAAACCAATTATAAGGAATGTTTCTATATAAAGCAATCAGCCCATCTGGAGTGTTACGAGCTTATCAAAACCGAGTTGCTTAATCGAGGGCTAGAGCTTTTCTCGATGTGTCGTACTTTTGATTTTAGATCATATGGAAATGTCAATAGATTGTACCTTAATGGCAAGCAGGCCACGCCTGACCACCACGCCTGAATTTGACCGACTTACCTAGAAATGTGTAAGAGCTGCGATAAAAATATCAACATACTATACACCTACTGGATATACATATTTTATTGCACTTGGTTGCATGAGTATTCTTATGAGTAAACAGCTTTAACTATAGCCTACAAACTAAACATTGCACTTGGTTTACATTAAAACAAAGAATTCGATTTGCTAAACTCGAGAGGTCGCCGGAACGACTGCTCCAGATTGTGTAGTCGCTCCTCCAGATCGTTCATGGAGTTGCGAAGAATATGACCACGAGGGCGCAGTGAAATCAGCGGAGAGTTCTGCATAAGGTCGTCCTTGACTCCGGAGAATGAGTGACGCACGCAGGATGAACGCTTCTCGAACTTTGTGTTCTGATAATCGTGGCGTTGATGATGATGTCCATGCTGGCGATGCTCGCATGCGCCACTTCGACAGTTGAGTGCCACCAAGGGTTCGTCGGTCTTCAGTGAATCTTCGTAGGTATCGCTTTTGAGGAGGAGTTAGAAGAATAGTGCCTGTTATCGAGATGCTAATTGGTTTACCTGCTGTCAGTGGCTCCAAGGAGCCCTGGAGTTCCTCCGACTTGCGGACGTAGCTCCATGTGTGCCTTGGCATGTCGAGGACAAAGCATCTCTGAGTTGACTGCCCGCTTGGAGCTATGCTGAAAGGAGTCCGGTGAGGTTTCGTATAATTCGCGACTGCTTAGAAACTCGACGCCCGAGTCCTGACCCGCCGAGTGAAGGGAGAACAGAGAGGTCTCGTAGTTATTGCTAAAAAGTAAGGGCTTATCATTTGCTTCTGCGAAAGAATGGATCGTATATCCCAACGAAAACTCAACTTTCTCTCTATAAAGTGTTCTTTTTTGGGTAAAGTGCTTGAGCTAATCGAAAGTTCGGTTTTTGTTTAGGAACATTGAAAATAACTGCTGCTTACAGATTGCTAACAGGTTGGCAGGCATTATACTTAAGCACAAACGGCGTGCTGCCCCCATCTGGATCCAGACGAGAGCCACCACTGCCACTCGCTGCCGCCGCAGCCTTGGCAATGGACTTGGGCAGCGGCACATCAATGTATTCACGCTGCCGTTGCTGTCTATAGAATGGCAGACGAGCGATGAGCAAGAGCAAACAAGTTTTTGTTAGTAATATTCTCCGTTTGCCCCTCTGCTACTTACTCGTTCAGGTACTGATGATGCTGCTGCTGCGTGGCCAGCGCCTGTTGCTGATGATGATGATGCAACTGCTGTTCCAGTTTCTCAGTGGCCGTGGCCGTGGATTGCGTTTGCGCTGAGGAGCAAACCGATTCGGGCATGAAGGCACTCGTTGGTCGTGTACCGCCCTTGCCGCAGCGTTGCGTATGCCGCTGGCGTTGTCTCCGCTGCTGGCGACAAGTCGAATTGATGCCGGCTATCGTATAGGTGAGACCGGCCTCCGAGGCAGGAATGTTACGTTGCGCACAAAGACCACTGAAAGACAGAAATGAAAGAAGATTGACGACTTGGTTAGGGTCATTGGATTTGATGTGATTGTGCCCAGGTTGTCACCAGGCGCACTTGATGGCTGCCAACTGATTGGACTGCTCTTTGGCTGTCAGCTTGTCGTGTGTTGAGCTGTTCTTTTTTTTACAGTTAGAATTTTTTTGAGCCTGAGATTGAACGGGAAACGTGCGCCTAATTGGAACAGGTTTGATTGCTGCATTGCAAGGTGGAATGAGCAAAGAGAACAACAGAAACTTCAGCACGACAAGAACAACAACCAAAAAGCAATTGACTTCTTGTAGATTTATTAAGACTTAAGGCGATTGTTAGTCTACGTATGGCTATCATTATATTCATCCTTTTACTAAACCGAACAGTAAGCAGTCTAACGGGTTTACCGTTTCTTTTGCAGGCATAGGTAACAGCAGGCGGCCATAATGGCACCCACGCTACAGAGTGTGAGAAGCACAACGGTGACAAATTCCAGGCCGCCCACAAAATTGGGCGCCGTGGCGTGTGTAGGCCTTGGTAATTGGCCAAACTCGGCTAGTTCGATAATTCGTGGCATCGACTTGGAGCTATCCAATGGCTGTCCTACTTGTTGCTGCTGCTGATGTAGTTGCAAGGCGTCCAGCTGTAGGCCGGCCAGCGAACTGAGAACAAGGTGAAGGCATGTTTTTAACAAATTGACAGTTTTCGGTTAATAGGGGCAACTTACTCTTGCAATTGCTCCATTTCCATAATGGAATTCGTATGTGGATCTACAGCATAAATGTAGGCATTGGTGCTGCGGTTAGAATATTAAATAACTGTTAGTCTAAAGGGGACGAATTTGGAATGCGAATGGGTTAACTTACGCAGCTTCCAGGCCACCGGAATGTGGCTCTAAGAGGCGCACACGAACATCCTTTGCTATTGCGGAGCTCAATGCCTCCATCAGTGCCTCGATGCGTCGTTCGACTTCTACTGGCTTGCCAGCCACTACAATGCGCACCTGCTTGGCCTCGTCTATAATATAAACGAAGACATTGACAATCCCGCTGCGGCCATCGTCGGCACCCATTCTATCGGTGGCCTTCACATCAAATCCGTAGATGCGCTCATCCATGGAAACATCGGACAACAGGCGAATGTTCCCCGTGAGCTCATCTATGCCAAAGAGCCGCGTTGGCTCGTTGAGGAGACGGTAACGTATTTCGGCATTCAGACCCTCGTCCGCGTCTGTAGCCACAACACGTGTTACCGGATATCCAAAGGTTGCACTTCGGGGTACCACTGCTATGATTGGTTGCCCATTGCCTCGAAACTTCGGTGCGTTATCATTCTCATCAACAATGTGCACAAGAATTCGGCACTCGTTGGGTGCCAGGCCATCAACCCTCTCATCTACGACGGGATAAGCTACTCGGACATAGTTGCGCGCCTCTCGACTCACACGATCTGCGCGTATACGCAGCTGGTAGCGTGCAATGTGCTCTCGATCGAAAGGCTTCAAAGCATAGAGTAGCATATTTTTGGCATCGTATTCAAAAGGTGGGTGCGCATCTGTCTCGTCCAGACCCTCCTCCAGCCAGAGAGACCAACGAAAGTTTTCTGAATTCAAGCCCACCGTCAGATTCAGACGCATGACCTCAGTAGGCGCCTCGTTGTTCTCCGGCAGTTGTACTTCGTAATAGGTATGTTGAAAGATGGTCACATTTGGGGCTGGTTCAATTTTCATTGGTGGTGTAGGCTCTGTTACTGTTTGGCCTTGCAAATTGACGAGCACAACAGCTGTTGAGGAGAGGGCTGGACTACCCAGATCCGAAGCAATAACACTAACATTCAAATGTTCGTAGTCATTGTAGCCCCGAATGTTTGCGACTGTTGTAATAGTGCCGTCACGTGAGTCTATTTGAAAGACTGGTGCATGTAGTTCTTGATGCAGAATGGAGTAGAGCACCAGACCATTCCCATTACCTACATAATCCTTGTCTATGGCCGTTACCTATAACCATAAAGAATAAGATATTGGAGAGTGATATCATTACATACACAAAATCTACATACCTGCTTCACGAACATGCCTGGCTTGGTGCTACGATCTAGGTAAGCTTTATACACCGGAATCATTAGCGTTCGGTCTGGTAGATCAGCGATGTATTTCGCGGCTTTGGTCTGATCGTCATAGCCAATAAACTCGGGCTTGTTGTCGTTTATGTCGAGGACATTCACTTCAACATCAACGGCACTAGACATGCGTTGTAGCGGTGGCGCATTATCGGTAGCTATGACCTGGAAGCTATATTTGGAGCGCAGTTCGCGATCCAATTGTCCTTTAATCTTCAGCACACCCGATGACGGCTTCACTGTGAACGGTACATCGCGATCACTCAGCGTATAAGTAATATTAGCATTGTCGCCAAAGTCAAGATCAACGGCCACTACCTGACCGAGAACACTGTCCTTATACTCGCCCTCGGCAGTGTCGAAACTGTACCAAGACTTCTTAAAGGCCGGGGCATGATTGTTTACATCCATGACTGTAAGCCGAAGACAAGTTGTATCCTTTAAGCCGTCAATGTCGGTGGCACTGAGATTTAACCACACTTCAATGTTAGCCGCCAGTGGATGGTTGACTGATAGTTCACCAGTCAGCTTGTCCATGTTGAAGTGCTTTACCCCAAAGATTTTGGGCAAGTGGGACATGCCGACGGATCGCTCTACATGTTCGTTCAACAGTTCATAGTGCAGCTGTGCGTTCTTGCCAAAGTCGTCATCGCTGGCCGTCACCTGTAAGAGCTTCGTGCCCACGGGCGTGTCTTCGTAGATGGCGAAGAGTGGACACTTAAGTAGCGGCGGAGGTTTTGTGAGCATAGAACGGGCTACACGACGTCGAGACTTGGCGCGTGTCTTGTGAAGTGCTTGCACGGCTCCACCCTCTGTGTGGAGACGTGGCGAGCCCGGTATGTGATAAGGTGGAGGCGCCAACATCATGGTTGCCGCCGCTGTAGGCGCTGTCATGCCATTCGAACTCTCCACGAAGTAAATTTCCATGTCTGTAGTATACTCGCGTATCTCAACCTTTGACTCCTTGAATACGGAGATTCGCTCAAAAATGGGCGCATTGTCATTAACATCTGCTACTAAAATAGTTAGATGTGCATAGCCAGACAGTCCACCATTATCAGCCGCTATAATTTTTAAATTGTACAACTGATCCTTCTCCCTGTCGAGACCACGCTTGCCAGTGTATGTAATACGAAAGTAAGGACCCGAACTCAATTTGAAGTTCGACTGCATGAAGGAGGTGTGCAACTCTTGGTACTTGAACTCGTCGTTCCACTGATCAGTGAGATTAAAAATATTAAATGCACCTGTGCTGGGCAGCAGCTTGTGATGACTGGCGTTACCCACCGCCGTACTCCCATTGAAGTACTCTATGGAAAATTGATCGCTGTAGTCACCTTGCAGCAATACTCGGAACTCGGCATTTGCTCCCTCGTCAGCGTCAGTGATGTGAACGGCTTGATTCATGGACAGTTCCGTTCCTACAGCGCAATTCTCGTTTATTAGACCAACATAGGTGAGCCCATTGAACTTTGGCGCATTGTCGTTGACATCGTCCACTTTTATGTTTACCTGGTAAATGCCAGCTCCACTTATCAGTCCGGTGTTGTACTCTACAATGACGGTGAGTTCGTAGCTGTCCTTCTGCTCGCGATCCAGTCCGGTCAGTGTGAGCAATGTGCCATCCTCGGTAATTGAAATTTTATTAACAACCTCCTGTTGATTGGCTATTATGTAACGCAGCTTGAGATTGGTGTCGCCAATCAGACGACGTGGTAGACGCCGTGGTAGACGCCGTTTGGCCTTGGAGCTCTGCTGACGCTGACTTCGGCCAGTATTGCGGAATCGACTGCCCAAGGTTAGATTCCCAATGCCAGTAGTAAGCTCTCGGAAACTTCCAAGCTCGTTGTTGACCACATTAAGGCCGTTCTTGTAGAGAAGCTGGCCAATTATTCCGCCCACGATATTTTCTTCAATGTGAAAATTTATAATGTTCATATTGATCTCCCTGTATACGAGTAAAAATAAATATTAGTCGGTTAAATAAAAAAAAAACAGAAAATCGAACTATACGTACTCTATAACTGGTCTTAGGGGCACCTTCTGCTCCGGCTTTGTTACAATATGTATGGTAACATTGGTTATAAGTACACCTTCATCGGTTAGCTCTGGACCAGCTGCTGTTGTGAGCGGTTGCGAGCTTCGTGACACAATCAAGGGTTGACTGGAGTTGGCAAAAAGCTGCAAGAATTTGGGAAGATTTGAGTTAGCCAATAAAGTGACTACTCCGGTGAATACTTACATAATTAGCTACAGCTTCAAAGTTGTATACTTTTCTGTTAAAGTCGGACAATTCGCGTATAATTGTGATTATTCCCGACCGCTCTTCGATGGCAAATGGAACGCCCTCGGAGTAGGTGTGCAAAAGATCATACATGATCTCCTCCTCACCATCATAGATCAGTGTAGTGCGTACCTGCCCCACTGAAGTACCAAGCGGTGTGTTGGCGCCAACCCAAAACTCGTACGGTGCACCCACAAAATCTATAGCTTGATCGTCAATTGTGGCATAAACTTCAATGGTAATGACAGCCAACGAGAAGCGGCGCTCGGATGGATTCGTGGGCTGATCGCTGGCTTCTACAAAGACGGCTATGCGACCGCGTCGCAGTGGACCACCCACAAAGATGGACCCATTTTTGTTGTCCAAGCGAAAAGGTATATATCCGCTGCCCTTAGGTCGCTGTAGCTCGTATAATAACTGCCCATTGGGCCCCTCATCAGGATCATGTGCAGCCACCTGACCAATTTTATAGCCCACAGCAGCTGTTATGGGCACCTTGAATTCGTACAAATTGCCGCTCTCAAATTTGGGCGTATTATCGTTGGTGTCCAGCAAAGTGATCTCAACATGTACTAGACTGGGACCTGGTTTCTTCAGGTGCTTATCATCCAAGTAGGAGGGATTACGCTCAATTGCTTCCACAGTCAGTTGTATGGACTTCCGCTGCTCGCGATCTAGCAAACGATCATCTCTGACAGTTATCCAGCCGGTTCGTGAATCTATACGAAATGCCCCAATGGCGTCTTTGCTTTCCACTAGATTGTAAAGGAACTCGGAGTTCTCGCCCTGATCGCGATCAACAGCATTCACCTGGAGCACACTAAACCCCGAAGGCAAATTCTCCACAATGGAAATATTGTAGAAATCTGCCTCGAACTCAGGAACATTATCGTTCAGATCGAGCACTTCCACTTCAATGCTGGTCGGAAGAATAAAAATAAAGTAATGTTAAATAATAAGCTGAAGGCTAACGAGTAATTTACCGTGCCAACGCCTTCTTGAGGGGATTATCCTTTTGCCTTGCTTCCAGCTGCAGGACAAATGTATTTCCCGGCAGACTTTCTTCCTCCAGATCGATCTCCTTCTGCAAATACATAACGCCATTGTTTGGATTTACTCGAAACAACTGCCGCTCATTGCCCGATATGATGTCGTAAACAAGCGAGGCGTTAAGTGAGTCCTGATCAAAGGCCATTATCGGTGGGGCGAAGTAGAGTGGAATGCGCAGAGGCATGCCAGTCATTGGATAGAACTCATTGATTTTTGTCCGATAAACTCCCTCAGTGAACTTTGGCGGCAGATCGTCTACATCTCGTACATTGATCGTAATTGTAGTGTTTGCCTGATTAGCTGGCGTGCCACGATCCCAGGCAAAAATTGGTAACCTAAACTGTCTGATGCCATTGTCAAAGTCCAGCTCACGCTTTAAAATGAGCAATGGGCGATGTGGGCTTTTGAGGGCAAAAAATGGACTGCCATCATCCGACAGCTGTTCCGGTACGGTTGACATACTGAAATGGATCTCTGAGTTCGGAGTGTTTGGTTTGTCGCGATCAAAGGCCTGTACACCCTCAAAGATGATGCTATCGGTTGAGGTATTCTCGTCCACATCCACCACATAGGGCGTATTGAGAAATTCAGGTGCATTGTCGTTGACATCCTCTATGTAGACGGTTATTGAGAGATAGCTACCCTGTGTGTGACCAAGAAAGAAAGTGTAAGTGGTTTGTCTGTGCTTTGTCTAAGCCAACTAGTTACCTCTTCTAGCTTCTCGTTTTTTCCAGCGCAAAGTATGCGAAACTTGAGTAGATTCCGCGGCACATCGCGATCCACTAGACGCTCCAGCGAACGGGCCAAGCTAACTATCAAGGTGGTGCCATTGTGCTCCGTTAGATTGAAATACTTGTGATCGCCGCTGGCATCGGCGGCCCTTAGGGACACAGCGGAGCGTGGGTAGGCCTGCAATCGTAGTATTTCCTTGCCCACATCGGCGTCTTCACGCAGACGTATAAAGCGCACACCCTCGCTTTCCGCTGCCACGCCATCCAGCGTGTGAAAAGCACAGGCAGGTGAGGATGGCGATGATGATGTTGTTGCTAAATTTGGAGCAGAGTAGAGCAACGATTAGACGCAATGACTATTAAGGAAAACTAAGGCCGGCCAGCCCCTCGAAAAATCCCATAAGAGACGTTGACAAATCACACGACTGCATTTGGTCATGCAAATTGCAGCGCTGAGAACCAAAACGGAAAAGCTGTTGGAGAAACATCCGTAACCACAAACACGAATAGGAAACAACCGTCTTGGGTAGGCGAAGGGAAAGAAGGTGTCAGAGTGGCTGCCTTTGCGCACGCGTGACGCAGTCGTTGACGGCGCCAAGTGGCAATTGCAGCCAAAAACTTTCTACGTTTGTCGCGTGCCTGGGCTGGCTGGCGGCACGAAGTGGAGCGGCGGGGCAAGCTGCGATTTTCATGTGCAGTTGCAACACTTTTCCACATGCATTCAGCTGTCGCCCTACCATCTTGGGGCCTGCAATCAGCACCAACGACGACTGACGCGCCAGCTCTTGCGAATTTGCAACGTGTATTTTATTTATTAAAGTTTTGCTTCCCACCCTCATGACATAATTAACCATTTTTTATGCCACGTTCAGAGCTCTGCAGCGCCGCAGCTCTGCAGTTTTGGCCAAATGCGTTCCGAGTGACAAGACGACAGCCTTAGAGACCAAGACGTTGGTACAGCTGCCCGTTGCTACGAATGCCTCACTGGCAGACTTGCTGACTTGCTGACTTTCTGACATTTTTTCGGAAGATCTTGTACCGCGAGAAATTATCATTGTTGTTTGTCGTTTTAGTAGTTGTTGAGATTGCTGTTGCTTTTATTGTTATTGTGGTTGTTGTTATTATTGTTGTTGTTGTTGTTGTCACTGCCACACCGGCACTCGAGTGAAATCTTTGCCAACGTCCACGTCGCCTGTTGTTGTCTACAATTTTCATAGGCAATGCTTGTTTATTGTCTTATTTGTGACTTAGTTTTATTTAAGTTTTTTTTTTGCGATTGCCGTTGTAATTTAACTTTTGAGTTTCTATTTGTTTACTTGCAGTTTCTAACCCAATTTGCTGTGAACAGATTGCTGGGGATACACATATGTATGTATGTTTGTTTGTTTGTTTGTACGCAACTCGGAATTATGCGGAAAATGCGAATTTTTTTACAATTGCAGGGTAAGTGTGTAATGAAATGCAAATAGCATTGTCATATAAAGAGATTGTTCTTGAGGTTCGTGAGAGAAAACAAAATAATTTGTACCAACTATACCTAGTTACCCTCTGGCCCAACTAAGTTGAAAGATAGATAAGCGGACTGCTAGACAAGGCATGTTCCTTATTCCAACAGGAGTCATCAAGAATGCTGGATCATCGTCTGTGTGAAGTGCATTGAATACGACTCCTTAAGTTAACATAATATTTCATTCACATTATAAGTATTATTTTTTGGTTTCCTGATTTCTTCAACGAACATTGTCTGGATGCATGTGGCATTTGAATTTAATGCATTAAATGGTTATTTTTTTGGATAAAAACGAAATCTATTCTCTCGATAATCCTCGATAAATCCGTAGTGTATTGGACCATCTACTAATTACTTCAGTTGTGGGATTACTTCTTTAAAGATGTGGATAATTATCTATTGGATAAAATGAAATATAACTATGCCTCTTGCATACTATGACAAGGCAATCCCTACATTTTAGCACAATATTCTATTCGATCTAATTTCTGTGCGAACTGCTCAGCCATCAAAAAACCCTTAAAACTGGCATGCGGCCTTCTAACGGGGGCTCTGAGAGGTGCTCGCCTTTGACGAGGGTCTGCCTAACTTCACGTGACGAAAACTAAATAGTTTTAACCGTCCAATCTTGATACATTTTTGCAATGGCCGATAAAGAAAAATTTCTCAAATTTTATTGCATACTTTTAGGTTTGTTTCTTAAACCTTTGTTTTTTTTTTTTTTTTTTTTTTTTTTTTTTTTTACATATATACAATTTATTAAACTAGTTTTCTACTACCAATATGGCAGCTTAAGCTAGTTGAAAGTTAGGGAATACAAAAGTTGTCTATAGTAAGCATCTATAGGACGCACTTATATCTATGTACATATATACAATATTTACAATGTTTTACATGAAAAATGATTATATTTTATGATATATACTATGTATTTTATACAAGGGCTCTTGTGGGGAGATCCTTTGGATGGCACTTCTTCAGTCTTCTCTTCTTAGGTTTGGACAGGAGCCGCCTCGCTAGTGCGTTGGGGTGACTGCCGAGTCGCTTCTCGTAATTGCTTGCGTGCATTTGAATGACATCGCCAACCTTGGGGACACATAAGTCTCTTTCGATGTCCCTAGTGCGCATATACCAGGGAGCGTTGCATATTTTTCTAAGTATTTTAGCTTGCGCAACTCTTATTTTGTTTAGGTTTGAAGCAGCGGCAATGCCATAAATTGGTAGCGCATACTTCCATATTGGACTTAATATGGACTTGTATACTGTCACCTTACTGTGCAGGGACAGCTTGTTGCATGGTGCAAGCAGCCATGCCATCTTTCCGGCTTTCGCCATGACCGATCGCTTCACCATTGTTGTATGCTTGCTGAAGTTGAGTCTTCTGTCCAGAATTACACCAAGATATTTGTGCGAATTTGTATGACTGAGCGTGGACCCCAACATTGTGATATCTCCGCATGACGACGGCCTTGTTGTAAATGTGACATTCGCACACTTGCTGGCGTTGATACCAATGTTCCAATTCAGAGCCCACTTCTCGAAACTACTTACATACTGCTGTAAGGCTTCCGAAGCTACATCGATATCTCTGCTTCTGGTAAGCACCGCAGTGTCGTCTGCGTAAGTAGCTAAAACCTTTGTTTAAAATGAATTGTTTCAATAGAAAATTGCTTTCTATCATATTTCTCTGCTGCGCTCTTAAGCCTGAAAAGAAGAGTCAGGAAAGAATATGCAAGAACTGGAGATACTCGCATTCATCAAATCTACAAAAGACTGTCCAATCGACTGCAAAAAGAGCTTGCTAAAATCAGACAAGGCAGAATTGATGACATATTGGAAAGTGCTGGTCCAGATGCATCATTTAATTACTCGCTCTGGAAGCTTACGAGGCGATTTAAGAGGCTGGTCATCCCTAAGACTCCAATTAAGGATCCTACAGGTGGATGGAGCTACTCCAGTCAGCAGAAAGCTGAAATCTTTGCAAACAGCCTAGAGGAAAGATTTAAGCCTTTTGACTTTACAACAGCAGATAGGCGAAGGGTAGTCGAGCTTAGGCTGGAGATGCCATTCCAAATGGCCTTGCCTGCAAGCCCAGTTACACTTCAAGAAGTGGTACAGCAGATAAAAAATCTAAAGGTAAAAAAAGCGCCTGGAGAAGACCTTTTAGACAACAGGACGCTGAAACTGCTCCCCACAAGGGCTCTGCTGTATATTGTCTTGCTCATGAATAACATACTCAGGCTGAGGCACTTTCCAAACTGCTGGAAAATGGCGCTAATTACGATGATTCCAAAGCCAGAGAAACAGCATACTGAAGTAGATGGATATAGGCCGATTAGTCTGCTACCTGCCCTCGGGAAGATGATGGAACGCGTGATTCTGGACCGGATTCTCCAGCTCGAAGCCGTGGCGCGCAGAATTCCAAAATGGCAATTTGGTTTTCGAAGAAGTCACGGAACACCGGAACAGCTCCACCGTGTGGTCAACTTCGCCCTGGAAGCCATGGAGCAAAAGATGTACTCAGTGGCTGTGTTTATGGATATTAAACAAGCTTTTGATAGAGTGTGGCATGATGGTCTCCTCTGCAAATTGAAAGGCATGCTAACTCCTCAATTGTTTCAACTCATCGAAAGCTTTCTAAGGGACAGAAGCTTCAGAGTTGCTGTTGATGGAGTGAAATCCACGAGGCGCTCAATTTGTGCAGGAGTGCCCCAAGGCAGTGTTCTCGGTCCTACCCTGTATACATTATTTACTGCTGATATGCCTGCACCGCAAGAGATCATTGGAGTATACGAGGATGACGCACTAATAGCTACTTACGCAGACGACACTGCGGTGCTTACCAGAAGCAGAGATATCGATGTAGCTTCGGAAGCCTTACAGCAGTATGTAAGTAGTTTCGAGAAGTGGGCTCTGAATTGGAACATTGGTATCAACGCCAGCAAGTGTGCGAATGTCACATTTACAACAAGGCCGTCGTCATGCGGAGATATCACAATGTTGGGGTCCACGCTCAGTCATACAAATTCGCACAAATATCTTGGTGTAATTCTGGACAGAAGACTCAACTTCAGCAAGCATACAACAATGGTCAAGCGATCGGTCATGGCGAAAGCCGGAAAGATGGCATGGCTGCTTGCACCATGCAACAAGCTGTCCCTGCACAGTAAGGTGACAGTATATAAGTCCATATTAAGTCCAATATGGAAGTATGCGCTACCAATTTATGGCATTGCCGCTGCTTCAAACCTAAACAAAATAAGAGTTGCGCAAGCTAAAATACTCAGAAAAATATGCAACGCTCCCTGGTATATGCGCACTAGGGACATCGAAAGAGACTTATGTGTCCCCAAGGTTGGCGATGTCATTCAAATGCACGCAAGCAATTACGAGAAGCGACTCGGCAGTCACCCCAACGCACTAGCGAGGCGGCTCCTGTCCAAACCTAAGAAGAGAAGACTGAAGAAGTGCCATCCAAAGGATCTCCCCACAAGAGCCCTTGTATAAAATACATAGTATATATCATAAAATATAATCATTTTTCATGTAAAACATTGTAAATATTGTATATATGTACATAGATATAAGTGCGTCCTATAGATGCTTACTATAGACAACTTTTGTATTCCCTAACTTTCAACTAGCTTAAGCTGCCATATTGGTAGTAGAAAACTAGTTTAATAAATTGTATATATGTAAAAAAAAAAAAAAAAATCATATTTCTCTTTATTGAAAATTTTTTTTGCACATTATATTATATTTAAAAGTTTAAAAAGTATTTAAATGAAATTTAAAAGATAAACGCATTTGCTTTTTAAATGTTGAAAATCGTCTTCTTTACCTGAATATTGAACACAGTACATATGTACTTTAGGATAGATTGAATAAACCGAAAAAACGAACAACAAAAAATGAAGAAATTTCAATAAATACATATAAATAAAGTAAATTTTAAAAAGCTTTTTCTTTATAATCGTTGTTTATAATGAAACAGTTACTGGAAATTAAAAAAGAAAGTTGTTAAAATGGGACTTAAGTAGTATTGACTAGTGTGTAGTTCTTATCTTAGACATAGGGATAGGGACATAGACATTATGGGGCCGAAGTTGAAATAAGTTGGTCCTTAGCGTTGCCGGGTTTTGAAAGACCAGTTAGAAAACGCTTCGAGAAAGTCAGCAGTGTGCCTGGATAGCAATAAGATGGTCGAGCATTTTGACCATTTCGGGCTCTTTGCATTTTCTACAAGTGCCTTTCGTTATTACACAAAGCTTCTTGGTTCTTGGGTGATTGCCAAGCAGTGTCATACCTGTTAGTAGGCCGGTTTTAAGTCTGTAAGATGGTAACTAAGATTTTATCGATTTAGTACGCTCTTGTGTTGGTTGATTGGTGATAGTCTTAAATCCTTTTCCACTGACTGCGTCTTATGGTGAATATTTCCGCCTGCAAGAAGCTAAAGTAATTGGGCAACTTTTATGACTGCTTCAGTGCAGTATCTAGGCGGTATAATACGCCTCTAGTTCTAGTCTCATCCTGCGGCTCTGGCTCAGTTCTGTGCGCCAGTCAACTAATTCCATTAGTGTAGGTTTGTATTTGAAGTTGGATTGCGGAGCTGAGTAGTCCGTACTACTGTTTAACTCCCAAATACATTGTATGCTGTGTTTTTTGGCTTTGCAATGCTCGTGAGAAAGTAGCAGTCACAATAATATTGCACAACTTCTGTACTGATAAATGGCAGTAAAGTTTTTGTATTTGCACTAAAATTCACAACCAGGTACAGCAGAATCTGATAGTGGATAGCTGATGATGTTTTGCTTATTTCCATAATTTTAAAAAACGTGCTATTTATTAGAATATTTTATTTATTTTTTTAAATTTATCTGAGTACTATATTGTTTTATATTTCATTTGAGGCTTTAAAGCTATGGTCAGACAGCCAAATAATTTGAATTTTACTTCATTATTTTATTTAACAGTTAGAAAAGTCAAAAAAATTCGAATATCTAGAGTATTCTTAATCACAGTCCACCGTGTTTCTGTTGAATCGCTCCCAGCATTGTGTGTTCATTTTTAATTGATTTTCGTAGACGTATTTTCTCACACCATATAAACCGACACTACGAGTACTAGATGTACGGTATGTATCCATTACATACTCGTTAATACATAATTCAAGCCTACTCCACATAACAGATAAACAAGGCTAAACACTGCGATCCAACCATCACTTCATTTAACATACTCGCATTATTTTAATACCGGTCATAATGCCAGGCGGTCAGCTTGTAATTTATTCCAAGCAACACAAAACAATTATAATATAATTAGAACATTGCCACACTCCGTAGTTTTTATGTCACATTTGCTTTTGTTATGCTTTTTCGCACCCGTTTTTTAATGGGCCAAGGTGTTGAAAGTTCTCACCTTAAAGCGGCCCCAATAAAAGCGAGTAAGGTGCTCGAAAAACCGGGAACAAGTTCTGATTTACAAACAACTTGGGGGAAATAAATGGGTCAGCAAGTTTGAAGTCAATGGGCCAGACATGCGGTTATCCAATCCATCAAATTGCTGGCAGCTCCTCTGAGCTACTTTTGCAAAATTGAAAGAATGCTGGAACAGCCAATTGACATCACTTGTCTTATCGCCACAGACATATGCAAATTTACGAGCGCCAATTGAGAATGTGTCTGAGGAAAAAAGTCGCTGGACCAGGCAATAGCCAACAGGTAACAGGGAACAGGTAACCGCAGATACTGCAGCGGAAAAGCATCGCGCGTCGTTTAAATTGAAATTGGGGTTATTTAACGGATCAACAACGACGGCACGACTATTGCAGACGGGCGGCAACGGGAAACGAGTCTGTAAGCGCTTGAAACGAAAGACTTAAGCGACGAACTGCAGCGACAAATCACTGCAAATGGACAAAGCAGATTTATATGCACTCACACGCACTAACACACACTCACACACACACACACACAGTATTAAATACATATGTATTTGGTGAGCAAGTCCAGGCAGCTTATAAGGCTATAACTGCTTTTACGCTAACTTGCCTTGCGCTGCTCCCGATTTTGCTGCAACGCCACCCACCAGAAGGAAAAGAAAAAGCCAAAGAAATGACCGCGTAATTGTGTCAGGTGAGCGTGGAATATTTGTTTTTGTATCCTGGCACATCTTTTTAACAGTTATGCGTTTCCAGTACGTTTCCAAAACCGTTTCCGATGCGTCTTTCTACCACATCGCTCGAATGGCAGTCGCTATCGCGCATGCGCATGCGAACTGAAGAAGTCAACCGACAACCGACAACACAAACACCTAACGACCAACTGAGCGTCGTTGCCGCCAACAAGTGACGAGCACCGCTGCGGCTACAAAGCCAGCTCCATGGGACGAGACTAGTTTTTAAAACCAACTAGAAGACGAAGAACGGCAACAACAACAACGCTGAGCAGTGGGTAACATAGTGGTGGCAAGTGTTAAGGAATATGTTGTTGTAGGTCGCGGGATAAGATCATCATTATCGCCCATATGGATTCCCATATTGCATGTGACAAAAATACATTTCTAATAAGAGTGTATGTCTCCCTAGTGTAATAAGACAATATGATATATTTCATTAATCTCTTTATGTAGTTATTGTTTCCAAAAACTCTACTACAGGACGAGATAGTTTTCAACTGTGTTTGTTATTGGCTCTGAAGGTCAATTGAAATTGGTCTCGAAAATCATAGTGTTGACAGTAGAGAGATAGCAGAGCCTCTTGAATATCCAATTGATCGACAAACGGATCGGCCGAACGGTAACTGAATTGTTGGTCAAAAGCGAAACAAAAGTCTGTTCCCAACAGTGGTTGGGTTGTTTGGCTCCCCCCTGATTTCTTTTTCTTTCCAAAACTGAGTCGATTGATTCCATAGCAAGTCATTTGCTCAAGGAACTAAAGGCTTCACCAAGTCAAATGTGTGAAATATTGGATTAAAACCTTACTTATTTTGAGAGTGACAATAAATAAATATTAATATATTATAGTATATCCTAGTATACGATTTCTACACTTGCAATCTATAATCAAAGTGTTATAAATATGGAAGTTACTATAATTACATGATTAGTTATCTAAACTGATTCAAATTAGCCGGTCTAGCCTTAATATATTGAACATTTAAATGAAGTTTTCTAATTTTCATTCAAAATTATTACAATATGTGCCATTTATGATAAAAACTTCAATATTTTCGAAACGATGTCGCATGAAAGAGCACATTATTGGCTATTTTCGCTAACAGTAGGCGATGTGGTCGCCTTCCCTGCTTATCTTCTGCACCTTTGGTGTTGGTAGGTGAACATTTTCTAATATACGATTTTTCAGCTTGGGGAGCTGATTTACAACAACAGCGTTACAGTAATCCCGTTGGGTCTTTGTTGTTGGGTCTTTTATTGCGTGCTGAAAAATACGAAGCAAGAAATGAAATGAAATGCAATGCAGCTTGAATGAATGAATAGAAGCAAGACAGATAGACAGAAAGAAAGAAAGAAAGAAAGGAGGAAGGCAGTAAAGTCAGGCCTGCTTCATAATAATAAAAAGTATAAACAACAAAACTTATTAACATAAACATAAACATGCTGAGGCGATGCTTGATGAGCGCCCAGTGAAAAGCAGCAACAATAATGGCACCACCACCACCAACAACAACAACAACAACAATAGCATCTTGCCATTATCGCGCCCAATGCAACAAGTCGGGGCACTATGTATGCAGGGGCCATGACAGCAGTCTAGATCAGACTCTAGGCACATTCAACGAAGCGCAGCTGCAAGTCAAAAATCAAATACAAAACAAATTGCCACGGGCACGGGCTCTGGGACCGGCAAACGGCAAACGGAGCAACAAAACACAATAAAGCCGATAAGCTTCCATCGACATGGGCCGCGAGATAAAAATGTTCGCAGTTGCAATAAAAAAAGCTAATGCCGAGTCGTTTTAACGGTGCCTGGCATACTGCAGTCTCCAGCCATTGAAGCTGAAGATGCGCACAAAGAATGGTACCCGAGCGACGAGGAAGGCAGAAGGGGAGAGAAGAAGGGACACAGCAGAAGCGTTGTGCATTGGGCAAAAAGAAAATGTTAACAAGTAGCAGACTAGAAAGGCGGCAGCAACTGCTGTGGTGGTTAATAACTTTACATAACACCTGAGTGGCGGAGTCGCCACTGCCTACGCAAATACTACAATCTGACCATGTCTTGTGGTCAGCCATCAGCTAACCATAGTACCAGACCAGTTGGAAATACTCAGTAGCCAGTTAGTGAGTCGTTGCGACGTCTTCGCCTGGTCAGTGGCTTGGAAAATTGGCGCGTGCTTCTGTACCTGTGCCCAGTCAACGGCTTTGTAATAGAGAATTAATGCTAATGTGCTGAGGTGGAATGGCCAGGGAGTGGATAACTCATCGTTCTTCCAGAAACCTGAACACGTCTTGAGGCTCGTAATATCGAACTAATACGGGTATTAACAAGTGTCTAGAATGTCTTCACTCTTCTCTAAACATCAACGTTGTTTGCAAAAGAGAACAACAAGATAGCTCACTTCCAAGATACTTTTTGAAAAAAGGAAAATTTGACGCGAATTTTTTGAAAACTTTTTGAATACTTTTGTTTCAGCACAACATTTTATGCAAACTGTTTGTCAGATGTTAGAGAACGAAATTCTTAAGAAAGGTTCATAGACAATCGGGGTTTTTCAGAATGGTACCTTAGTTAGACATTTATGAAGTTGATTAACTCTTTATAAAATAAATGATAATAGAAATACCTACAAACGTATAGATATTTTAATAACTCCAATTGAAATGTTTCCTTCAGGTATTAAATATTTTTTCTTATTCTACAAGTAGAACTCGATACAACGAAGCGAATCCCTTTAGCAAACCTTAAGTAAGTTTTTCAGTCAATTAAATAATACTAGTTATTAAAATTTTAATGAAGAGGCTTATCTAATCTTTTTTTCGTTCTTTCTACGAACATGTCTATGAACTGTAAGAAATAGTGAAAGAAATCATAATTTTGTAAGAATAAATGCCGCATTACAAAATAAGGGAATTTGTATATGAAGAGTGTAAGAATATATTGAAGGATGGCAGGAAAAATGGCATATATACTTGTACTTATGATCAGCTTGACGAGTCAATTCCAAATCGTGGTGTTCGCCGGTCTGTCTAAAGCCAATCAAAGATTCGTTTAACAACAACAAAGTGAACCTGTTAAGCTGTTCAAGTCAGTCTCCCGATGAAAAACATTTGAAGCTCTAAACTGGTGCAGAAACGTTTCGAAATGTGGACCAGTTATGGGAATTTGTGCAAACAGCGTGGTATGAGATTCCTCTCGAGACTTGTCGCAAACTTATTTCCAGTATGTCAGGAAGGATTTACAAGTATTTGTGTTGAATAACCGTAAATTGCAGCATTTTCTCTGACTCCTTCCTAGTCGCTGTTCAATTGAAGAAAACAAACTCAGAAACAGCCCTCGTAATGCTTCCGAGAGACCTTGCAGCTTTGCATTTGCTTAATCTATGGATGTAAGTCGACATTGAAGAGTTCAAACACCTATCAGACGCACACAACCCGTTCGATATATTTTGGTTTCGTCTCATTTATTTCTCTTTTTGCATTTGCATTTTTGGCTACTTTCGATTCAGGTTTACGCAATGACAAAACGACAGATTACGACCAATTCAGATGCAAATAAAATTGCATATCAAAGTATTAGTTCGGCTGCATCTTAACACTAGAAAGACATATTTGCTTGAATGCTTAAATTATACATTATTATTTGAGCTTTTAAAATTATTGTTTGAACTTCCTTTTAATACCGGCAGTGCTTTTTTATACCCTGTACCCGTAGGGTAAAAAGGGTATATTAGGTTTGTGCAAAGTATGTAACATACAGAAGGAAGCATCTCCGACCCCATAAAGTATATATATTCTTGATCAGCATGACGAGAGAAATCGATCTAGACATGTCCGTCCGTCTGTCCGTCTGGATGAACGCGAGGATCTCAGAAACTATAAAAGCTAGAATAACCAAAGTTGGCATCCAGATTCTCCTGGGTCCGAGTAAGGACGAGTTTATTTTATTTTTTTTAATTTCCCCCCCTTCCCCCGCTACAGAATTTCGTCAATAGCGTCCACATTTCAAATGCTACCTAAACCAAACTTTGCACACATAATTTATATATAATTGTCTACTGTTGTTCAAAATTTTATTCAATTCGGTCAATTCTAAGAAAAGTTATTAGCGAAACAAATTCTCGCCAGTACAACCCCCACAAACTGCAGCAACAAGTTCGCTCTTCTTCTTCCTCTTTTTGCTGCTGCTATGGGCGCATATAACTCAGTGACGGAAGTTTACCTGGGTACAGGGTATTACACTGTCGGACTTGCTCGACTGTAGCGTTCTCTCTTGTTTTATTATTTATTTTTTGGGTGGGGGTGGTATTTTTTTATTTTGCATTTAGAAAGAACATACATTCTATAAAATCAATACAATTGGTGACGGGTAACTTCCATGGCGATCTTTAATCTTGGAATCAATCTGAAAAGTGCTTGTGCCACTTTGAAGATGGAGCCTAAACATTTTTATATTCAAATCAACTGGCTTTAAATCTGAAAAAAACAACGACGTCGTAATATTTTCTTAACACTTGGAAACAAAATAAATTTTTTTTTTTTTTGTTCGGGCTGGACCTATCTTGAAAGTTGTGGATTGATGCAAAAATATTCAAAGCTTCAAACATTTTCAGCAGCGCCTTAGATTTCGTCTTCCAATTTTGTATACCAATCGACAGGAGTCTCTGTGTTCCAAAATGCGTGGAAACACATTTTCAGTTCCCTACATAACTCCATTATAATTCCTTTTCAATATATGTATATGGGTTGCTTTCGCTACCTTAGAGCTAAACGTTTGGTATCTAATATTGCGCTCAAAGCATTTGTATGTTTTTGAAAATATCGGGACCATTACAAGTATTCGACAGATTATTGATATAACCAAAGTTTGTGGCAAATCAGACTATTATATCAAAGCAGCAGTAGTTATGATTTTGGGAAGTTGGTTTTTTTTTTTACAGTGAACATTTTAACCATACAATTTATTACTTAACTTAAGTGTAGATGTAGGTAAGTATGTGTTTAAAGATTTTCAAATCCAACAAAAACGAATTCTATTCATAGGTGTAGACTCACGTGCCATTCTCTGCAGCCTTGTTAAAGCTGCGCGCAATGGCCACAGCCGGTCCTTGCAACACTTTTCGTGATAAACGCATAAAACCCGACACCGGATCGCGTCCAAAGTATTTCACTTGAATCTCCTGCCCTACCTCGAGTCCCAGAGCGGAGGGATGTGCTATCTTGCGCTGATCCAGCTGTGAATTGTGCAGCAATGCTGGCGGCATGCTGGGATACAGCACGACCATAACGCCTGTATCGCGAAGCTCTGTGATTTTGGCCGTGTAAATGCCACCGAACTCTAGATCAGGTACTCGCTCCTTCACCATAAACGAGTCGATGAGCTCTTTGGCTTCGTCCATCGCAGCCTGCGATGGCGCAAAAATTGAGAAAGCCGTCTCATCTGTTGCTGTCAGAGTGGCTCCTGTTTCGAGGTAGATGCGTTTCAAGTGTAGACCACTGGGTCCGATAAGCTGTGAACGTTGATGGGGCTCCACCTCGATGCGTTCGCTGACCGGCCAGCACTCCTTGCGATATTTCCTGATATTTTAAAGAAGGCATACTTGTAATTGACTTATCATTAGAGGTAAAGAAAGATTTAATTTACCGTGGTTCCCTAATGGCTTCGTTCATGATGTCGAGTATTTTGGATTTGGCATCACTAGCCTTCTGCAATGACTCCATTACCACCTTCAGTGGTATGCCCGGTACCTTCAGATCCGCTTGAATGGCAGTGAATCCTTTGCGAGTGCCTGCCACTTTCATGTCCATGTCACCCATGTAGTCCTCAATGCCAAGAATATCGGTGAGTATCCGATAATCCTGCAGATGCTTTGTATCGTTATTCTCATATTTCGTGACCAAGCCAATGGCCACTCCGGCTGCAGGCGCCGTCACGGGCACACCGGCATCCATAAGTGCCAGGGAACCGCCGCAAACGGTGGCCATTGAACTGGAGCCATTCGATTCCAGCACCTCGGAAGTTAGGCGCACCGTGAATGGGTAATCATGTGGAAGTGTGGGCAACAAGCCCCGTTCCGCCAGAGCACCGTGTCCCATCTCGCGACGTCCGATGGGTCCGATGCGACCAACCTCGCCGGTGGCGTACGGTGGAAACTCGTAGTGCAGCATAAAATTTTTGGCTTTCAGACCACTGTCCAGGGCGGCCAGAGTGTCCAGCTTCATGGCGCTCTCCTGCGAGTCCAGACTGACGGTGCAGAAGACCTGTGTCTGGCCACGTTGGAACAACGACGAGCCATGCAATGGCTTGTACATATCCACCTGACAGCTTATATTGCGGAGGCTATCGTAGTCACGGCCGTCGCAGCGACGATTCTGCTCGAAAATGAGTTCACGAAAAATGTTGCGGCACGCCTTGTTGAACTCCTCACCGATAATACCTGGCTCCATGTCTGGATAGGATGACCAAACCTTATCGATGACATTGGCACGCACCTCATTCACGGCGTTGTCACGAGAGATTTTGTCATGCTGCGCATCCTGAAAGATTTCACGCAATCGCATCTCACACATGCTCTTCACCGCCTCCACCAGTTCGGGCTCCACCTGCGTCAACGCCTCCACCTCGCGTTTAGGTCTGCCATATGCCTTTTGCAATCGTTCGATCTCATGTATAATAAATTGTGCTTCACGAGTTCCCTGTTTGATGGCTTTGAGCAGATCCTGCATGAGCACCACGTTTCCCTTGCCCTCCAGCATGACAACAAGGTTCTGTTTGGTGGCCGATACGACCAAGTCTAGTTGTGAGGATTGCAGTTCACGACGCGTGGGATTCACCAGCACCTCCCCATCGCAGAGGCCCACACTGCAATAATTTATAGTACAAATCTGGTTGAGAAACGAAAGATTCCACTCACCGCACTGCGCCAATTGGTCCATGCCAGGGTATATCACTTAGGCTCAGAGCCATGGAGGCCGCATTCATGGCCAGCACATCGGGCGCGTGTACCGCATCCATGGCCAGCATATTGCACACCAGTTGCGTCTCTGTGCGATAGTCTTTGGGAAATAGCGGGCGTAACGATCGATCAATCAAGCGCGCGGAAAGAATTTCCTTCTCCGATGGACCCATTTCTCGGCGCATAAAGTTCATGGGTATGCGACCGGAGGCAGCGTTCTTCAGTCTGTAGTCCACGACAAGTGGCATGAAGGACTGGCCAGGCGCTGGCTTGCCTTTCGCTACTGCTGTAACCATGACGGCGGTGTCACCCATTTGGCAAATTGCCGTGCCATTTGCAAAGCGCGCCAATTTGCCCGAGCTGATGGTCATGTTGCGCCTAAAAAGACGGTATTACATATTAAATAATTTAAATTAAGCAGATAGGCTTACCCATTGCTAAAGTTTACTTCGACGGCAGCACTATCGTTGATACCGCTGCTCTGTAGGCCCCGGCGGGTTGTGGGTATACATTTTAAGCGATAGTTTAACAATTTTAAAGATTTCCTCGTGAAAATCATGTTTTGGGGCGCACGGCCGTCTTAATGCGAAATTATCTAAACATTGCCGGCTCATTTCGGCTGCACACACTCACCAATACGCTACACGACACGTTTTACCATGATAGAGACAACGTAATGGCAGCTAAAACTCAACACCATACTCTTTGGCATACAATAAGCTGTGCAGCAATTTTTTGTAAAGTTATTATGCAAATTGGCGTACTAAAGAAGTATTAATTGTTGCATAAACCTAAATAGTGCATTAAATTAAGTGTAGCGCAAGCAACATGTGTGCCGGCGAACAGCTGCTTTGAGCAACATTGCCACAGTTTCATTGCTGGTAACCAATAACTACTCAATAATGTGGCAGCACTAGCGGCGATACCATACAGCTACTACTCATTTAACCATGGCATCGTTCCATGAGTACTTGTGGTATGCCTGCGTTTTTGTTTGTTGGTCACACTTTTAGTATTTAATCAGCAACAACGCAGAGTGGAGGTGTAACTAGCCGACCAGCAGTCCATATCGCTCGCGCAGCGATTTACTATCGAAAAAAAGTGGAAAAGTAAATAAATACAAATTGGTTGTTCTTGAAAGTGATGTCGGCGCACGTCTAACTCTTGCATTTATTGTAACCACTTGCTTTGCGTTCTTCGGTCGTACGTCTTTACGCGTGAGTGTGCCGTTTCGTGCCCGCCCGTGTGTGTGTGCCAGTGTGTTTTTGGTGGTGGTGTTTGTGTGTGTGTGCGCCCGCAGTGTTGGCCAAAAGCAAAAAGCCAAAGAGAGCCAGCAACAAAAATAAAATAAAAAGAAGAAAAACCAAAATCGACAAATGCGGTCAAATTGAAAAGCAAAACGAAACAAAAAAAAAAAAAACGAATTGGTGTCGGCACGCCACGAAAATACAAAACATCACAACACAGCAACTGCAACAACAACAACAAAAAAAGACAACGTTTTGCAAAGTTCAACATCAACGCAGCCACACACAACAGTAACAACAAAATTGTTATTGTAAAAACAAAAGCACGTACAAGAGAAAATTTTGCGTTTACCGCCTTCGCGTGCGTGAAAAGCCGGAAAATTGTGTCTAGTTGCGATTGGAAAGAGGCGTTGGCGTTTGTTGTCACTGCTGCTGGCCCCTCCACTTCCCGTACGGCAGTCATCGTCTGCGTCTTCGTTTTCTTCGTTGTCGAGCTCACATTTACACATTTCTTATATTTATTGTAATTTATGCAAAAAAGCAAAGCCAGCAAATTGAAGCGACGCGCGCGTGTGTCTCGCATCCCAATCCCATCATCATCCAACAAGCAGCGACATCAGCAGCAGCATTAGCAGCATCCAGAACTCCAAAGCAGCTGAGTCGCTCAGTTTTGTGTTTGAAAAGTGTTTCTGTGTGTGAGTGTGTGTGTAACTTTGACCGCATTTCGTCGCGCCTCGCTTGCTTATCAACAATAATAGCAACAGCAACACGAAAATTGCCAGCCGCCTTATCAGTCACTTTTGATTGCTGCGAAAAAATTCCGAATGCCGCATTAAAATAAAATTGATCCGCACACTCGTTCCCATTGTACGGAAAGACTAAACAACAACAACAACAACTAAGGCAGCAACAACAACTGCATCAAGTTATTGGTAAGTCTGCCCACTCAAAAGGCTCAGTAGACGCTTAATTGTCACACCTCATTAGCTGCTTCTTATTTAACTTCCTCGCCACGGCCGACCGTGTCGATTGCATACGCGTTGCAAAGTACATTAACGCATTTATCGTTATTCACACAATGAGTGGGGCTGCAAATTTCATTAAGTACTACATCGATGCACAATGCCTGCCCTGCACTGCCCTGCCCTGCCCCTCTACTGCATTCGGCGTTTGATGTGCGCTTCATCAAGCGACTGCCTACACATATAGTATGTGTGTACAGTCGAACTTCCCTAACTAGAATTAGCAGTTGGCCCAAAGGAGAAATCGAGCTAGGGAAGATTCTAATTATAGTCACATTCACATAACATGTGTGATCTTATATTGAGGCTGTAGCAGCTGAAACAACATAAAACAATTTCCAACAACATACGAATATTTTAAGATTTTTGTTAATAATTTGTTTTAAATAAAAAACAGGCATTTTCTTAAGTTGCGTTTAACTATAATTTCCGGCTTTAAAGAAATTAAAGGTGCGTTTCTATTTGTTAAAAATCACAATCTCGATATTGTCCAGACTGACTTCTTTTCTTTGTCCTTTGTTTAAAAAAACTACAGGTATACATACATATTTTGTAGTTATTATTGTTTTTTTTTTTTGCATTTTAGTTTGAAATAAACAGATCTCTGCACTCTTGCTTTCTACAAATTTAAAGATCTTTGTATTTTTTCCTTCATTGTTCATTATTGTTTTGCGAAATTCTAAAGAAATTATCATATTTAAAACTTTAAGAATATATATTTTTGCGCAGCTATAGATCTTTAGAATGCTGATGTTATGTTTTTTGACTCGAACTCGACCCACATATCACATCCACTATTTTTAAAGACCCTCGCATTCCACTAGCATAAAATCGATTTAGTAAGGAATATTTAGAAATTCCAAAAAATAAAATAAACTCGTCCTTTCTCGGACCTAGGAGAATCTGGATACCAACTTTAGTTATTCTAGCTTTTAAAGTTTCTTTGTTTCATTTAGTTTTAGTACGTCTGAACATTTCCCGATATGCCGAAAATTTAATGTGTTTTTTATCGAGCAATTCCCAACTCTCTAGAATCAGTGCTAAATATAAATCATCAACTATGAATATGAAAATAATAAAATTTAAGTTTTGGAAACTGTTTTGGCAGTCTTTTTAAAAGGATGCCTTGCAATTTAATCCTTGAAAATTACACGATAGAGGCAGCTAACAAATAATATTTGTTCGTTTTATTTGCATTCCACTGTGCTCTGCATCCGTGTCTGTGCTCTATGGGCTGCAAGTGACGCAGCTTGCGGAAAGTGAAAGGCACGCCAAGAACGCGCTGCGATGCGATGCGACGCAACTCGACACATTGCGTTGCGTTGGCGACGCTGCCGGTTGGCTGGCAGGCGGGCTGGCGGGCTGGCTTATCAACAACAAGCACGTTATCGTGTTGTTGGTATTGCCTCTTCAACTTGTTCTTCTTCATGGCGAGTAGTCAGCGACAGACGGAGTTCAGGCCAAGAGATACTCATTATGCTGTGCGACCTCTTCCGGTGCGGCTCCAACGGCATCGGCAACATCGTCATTGTTTGTCTGATATTCAAAGTGCTTGCATTGTGCTCGATATTTATTATTTGTGTTGTTATCTTTTGCATTTGTTTTCATTGTACGTCATTGTAAGTGACACTGATTGCTGCTGCCTGCCCCACTGTTGTTGCCTGTCTGTGGCGGCAGAGCGCCAGCTGACTGCCTGACTGACGGGCTGACTAGCAGGTCTCTACATAATTAGTGACCGTTTAGCATTTGCCCTGATAGTAACATTGCTTCCGGTCTCGGCCCAGCACTTCATCAACGGCGCTTTCAATTTTCCAACATTATTGCTAAGCGTGCCCGTTAGCAACAACTGTGGACAGGCCATTAGGAAGTTTGCTGGAGGAAACGCCCTCTCATATACAGCCACACACCCACACACAGAGTACACACACATATGTGGCCCATTGTTTATCCACTACATATAGTCCTTGGCAAATGCCATATCATTAACGCAGCCTTTTGAACTGTTCAACTATTTTGGGCTATAAAAAGCGCTCGAGAGGTTGTCGTCGTCATTCTTCTTCACGTGGCAGTTATTCCTTAGAGATGAGCAATGATTATGTAGCTGTTATTTACTCACTCATATTTATATATGCGATAAAAAAACGTTTGAAACTCAACCTAAATGCTAAGCTTCATGTATATCTAAATATCAGAAATTTTATCAATATACAAGTATAATGACAAGATTAGGCTAGAGCTGATCCGTTGTCTCTTTTGACAAGCAGATTTGCGTAATGAGTCCAAATTCTTTTAAGAAAACATTCCTTACAAGACTCATTTTTAAAACTGCTGCTTAGAATAATTTGAAAAATCCTACATTTATAAATTATTTAAAGACAGACAATGCTTAACATTAAAGTCTTTTAAGTGACAAAAAATCGCATTGCAAATTACCATCGCTGCCAAGTCACGGCCACAGATTAGTTCACGGTCTTATTGCCCATCTCTAGGGTTATTGTTGTCGGTTGGAGAAGGCGCCACTCACATGCACACTTGCGTCACAGATTCAGGATCAGCTCGTCTGAATCTAGACAGTGGGGTAGGGTGGGGTGGTTTGGGGCTGTGGGTGTGTGGGGTGACGTTGGCAATTCGCAAAACATGTGTATTTTGTCTGGCTGGCTGACTGAATGACTGGCTGGCTAGCTAGCTAGCTAAAGAGGAAAAAAATGAAAGAAAGAAAAGACAATAAACTATCAATGAAAACGACAGCAGGACAAACAGGAGGCAACTGATGACGAAGAGCACGACAACGACGACAACTGCGACCAAACCCCAAAGCAAATAAAACTCAATCGAAATTATTATCGACGATGCCGACGACGATGATGAAAACAAAACAAATGCCAGGGCAAGAGCAGGGCGCGGCAAACCGAACCAAACCCATTCATTTAGCGGGTGTATAAATAAAGCAGCAGCGGTTGAGCAGAACTGAGCTGAGGAGCTGGGGCCAGGCCACATGCTGCTCATCGTTTGCACGCGCCCTGGCGTGAAAATACGCGGCGGGAAAGCAGCAAAAACCAATCGATGTGTTGGGTGACCCTCTTTGGTCGCTTCTGGCTTTTGCACTAATTTGGCGCGACTTTGACACTTGTTAGCCATTATGTTTTTCGGGCGCCGTGATAATAGAAAAAGAATTGATATTAATTGGTGCACACCCATAATAAACTCATTTGTCTCCCTCTCCCTATCTCTATTTTTCGCGCTATTCGGACTAAAAAATAGGTAGGGTGGGGGCCACGAAAATCGCGTGAAAAGCAGCTTAACTCATTTGGCTAAAAGCGGCTTACAACTTGTGCATTGTTTTGGGCTTGTTGCGTGTTGTTTTTTGGCTGACTTTGGTCAGCTTTGGTTTTTTCAGCTTGGTCTTTAGAGTTTTTATCTTTTTTTTGTTTTATTCACAACACAACGTATTATGCAACCCCCTTTTGTTTGGTCTGATTTTGTGGCTGGCTAAGCCGCAGGGTACCGCACTCCGTTCTGCTCTACTACCTGACTGATTCAATCGCCATGTCTCAGCTGTCGCTTACAATTTAATTAATCCTGACCCGTTTCTGAACCCTACAAACATTGATCTTATTACATTATTTGTGCCCTTGATTGGCCTACACATTCTAAGAGGAATTTCTAAAGGATGCTCATTGAAAAGGATTAGAAATGGGGTTCATGTAAGCCCTTCAACGCTTCCTTTTTGTTTCGGATTCTACAAAATTTCTCAAGTGTGTTTCTGTAGCCTTTTTCCACAATTACAAAAATGTCTTTTATCTTTTTACACTTAAACAAAATAAACGCAATTTCACTGAGCAACTAAACCAGTTTTTAAAAAAGGAAAAGCTGTCACAAGAAAATATTTTTAAATTGTATGCCATTTTTTGCTCTCCGTTTCCAATAACTTTGTTTGCTTTGCCGTAACTATTAACAGTTTCAAAAATTATGTTTTGAGTGTAAGTTTCAAAACGACATGAGAAATGAAAAACTCAAGCCTTTTTATTCATTTACAACAAATGTGGAAATGTGAAATAAATTTAATAAATTTAAATTAGTTTATTTTAAATCCTCTCGACTGGGTACTAAAGGACGTTCATTAAATGTGAAAAATAAAGTTTTAGTAAACGATAGATCCAGAAGAAAGAATCCAATAGATGAATGGAACTCTCCAACGCATCCGGAAAACCGCCACACTAATTTATTAAAATGTATACCTGCCGATTAGTTGTCTATTACCTTGATTTAAATAATTAAATTCAAAAACAAACCTACATTTCTGGAGGTGTTGACAGAACAATATACGATTTCAGGATAGATAGATTTGGGGCTCCAATCAAAGCATTGACAAATGTGAATATTATATAAACAAGCGTAGAATAAGATAAAGGTTCGGAAGAATCATCAAAATTTAGACTTATTTCAATAATTTCGATAGTTTTTACACTTCTAATAATTTTTAGGAAAGTTGGATAGCTTCGATGAGGGCTACAAGTTTCATTAATTAGCATACTTACATCAGTTCAAATAGAATATTATTATACAGCACATTTTCATATAACTACAAAGTTTCTTTTCATGCTTTTGCCGTCGGCACCAACTGAAATCAATTAGAACTTGCAGAAAGTTAAACTACTTCCCGAATGGGTTCTGTTGCCGCAAAAGTTGCATTGAAATGAAAGTTTATAAATGTGCACACATACTATAGTCTAGGTACCTATGTGTGTAAATACTACTACATAGCCAGTCACACACGAGTTATGGGCAAAGCCTAATTAGCAATATATGAGGCTTCAAAAGCAAATGTGTGTCGACCCACCTGGCACACCTTTGTGCAATCTGTGCCAACATTTCGATAAGCATTTCAGTGCTAATCAACATGGCAAGCT